GGGAGGGAGAGACAGAGAGGTCTTCCATCTGCTGGTTTACTCTCCAAATACCCGTAATAGCCATGATTGTGCCAGGCAGAAACCAGTATCCCAGAACTCTGTCCAGGCCTCCCATGTGGGAGGCAGGAATCCAAGTACTTGGACCATCATTCGCTGCTTCCCAGGCACATCTTCAGGAAGCTGGATTGGAAGCAGAGTAGCCAGGACTTTAACTTGCACTCTGATATCAAATGTGGGATCCCAAGCTGTGTCTTAACTCCTGCACCACAACCCCTGTCCCTGTTTGGACATTTTGTTTGTTTCTTTGTTGAGAGGCCTTTATGGGAAGCAAAGTAGCCTGAAATATGGGTTCCCAAGTCATACATCCTTCAAAGGGTTTTCAGAATATAGGTTGCTGCCTCAAACTAGAAGTTCCTTCTTTTCCAGTGACACTGGAAATAAGCTCTTGATTTTAGCTCTTAAAGTTCTCTGCCCTTCTGCTTATACTCAGAAATTGAATTTGCATAAGTAGGTGTTGAATAGATGCTTGTTCAGAAGACAGAGGAAGTTGGCTTTAGTCCAAATGCATTAATTATATTGTTTCTAGCCTTGGCCTTCTCAGATAATCTCTGATAGGTCTGTATCCTTTGGAATAGGAGAAGCTGGCCAGAAGGAACTGGCCATCAAGGAGGGAGGCGCCTTTCTCCGAAGGGAGGCAGGAACCTCCACTGTGATATGGCCTTGACTAAACAAGTTCAGAGTTGGTGAACTCAAGGGGCTTCCATAGCCTAGACAGCTCTGGTGATTGCTGACGTCATGGATAAGAGTGCCAATTGTTAAATCAACAACGGGAGTCACTGGTTACATGTTCCCCACGTAGGATCTCTGTCCTTAATGTGTTTTACTATGAAACTTAAAAACAACACTACAAGTCGAACAATACCCTATACCTTGAGCAGTTGTGTGAGTGCAGCCTGTTGAAATCCTTGCTTAGTATATACTAAGTTGATCTTCTGTATATGAAGGTAATTGAAAATGAAGCTCGATGAAGGGCGGGATGGGAGAGGGAGTGGGAGAGGGGAGGACTGTGGGAGGGAGGGAGGTTGGCAGGGGGAGCCACAACAATACATAAGTTGCACTTTGTAAATTCACAGTTATTAAATAAAAAAAAAAGAGAAGCTGTCCTGACCGTGCAGCTGATGCATCCTCAGGGTACCAGCCAAATTCCTATTGAGTATGCTTTGTTGTATTTATATCATTATCTATGTATAGTATACTATGAAACAGTAGGCAATGGGAAGAAATCAGAAAAACCATAATTTATAGCATCCTATTTGTACTTTTACCTACCCCTAATCTTGGTTCTTTCCAAAATTACAGGCTGAACTACATGCATTACAGTCAAATCTTTATATCAACATTCCCTCTGTCATGGGCCATTCTAGGTTCTACCTGACCATCTGTGTTTTATAGCTTCCACCACACTAGAAAACTGTTCTTGATAATATAGGCAAATACTTAGCATTTGCTTTGTGCATTCTTCTAAGTACTTTATATATTTATCTATCTCATTTTATATATATAATTTCAGGTGTTATTGTTATCCCTTTTGACAGATGAAGAAATGTGTGTACAGAGGATACTTTATTTACTCTATTAAAATTTTTCAGGGTAGGGACAGACATTGGCCTAGCAATGAAGATAATGATTGGAATGCCCACATCCCATACAGAGTACCTGTCTTCAAATATCAGCTTTGTTCCCAATTACAGCTTCCTGATAATGCATACCCTGGGAGGCAGCAGATAATGATTCAAGTAGCTGGGTCCCTGCCTTCCATATGAGAGATCCAGACTGAGTTCTTGATTCCAGACTTCAGTCTTGCCCATCCCTGGCTGTTGTGGGCATTTGGGAGAATGAACTAGAGCTCTCTTTCTCTGTCTATCTCTCTCCTTCTCAAATAAAGACAGTAAGTAAAAACTTTTTAAATGAAGTTTTCCAGGATGGGCATTTGGCCTGGAGGTTAAGATACTAGTTGGGATGCCTACATCCCATAATCTCATATCAGGTTGCCTGGGTTCATTAATTGGCTTCAAGTCTGGACTCCAGCTTCCTGCCAGTGCAGACCCTGGGAAGCAGCAGTGATGGTTCAAGTAAGGGGGTTCTTGCCTCTCATGTAGGAGACTTAGATTGCATCCCTTGGCACCCAGTTCAGGAGTAAACCAGCAAGTAAGATTCTCTCTCTCTCTCTCCTCCTCCTTCTCTCTCTCTCTCTCTCTCTCCCTCTTCCTCAATTAAAAAGAAAAATTTCCACAAGACTTTTGTGAGGAGCTAGGATGACATCTATGTCAAAGACCATTGTAATAAGTAAAGTGAAATGCAAATATCATATTATTATTTGCTTTATAACTAGGCCCAATGAATATATGTTGAAAGAATAAATGAGTAAATATTACCGAAATGTACCAAGTGTAGGTAGAGCCCCCACAATAACATAAAATGTAAATATGCCACACACTTTGTCTGAAACTCAGTAGTTACCCTCCCCCCAACATATACTGGCTTCCTCTCCTTCCTTTTTCCTCTAATTTCACAATCAAAATGATTGTCTGAATGTCTTTAAAAGGTCATGATGAATTATTCTTTAATATTTGAAATGTTATGCTCAGAAAGGCCAGGCTTTATTTTTTTTTTTGGTGTGAAGTATGACATAGATTTGCTTTTCCTAGGTACACTTTTTATTTTTCAAAGAAAATATGGCAAAAAATTTAGAGCAGGGTGCCCTCTTGAGGAAATGTTAGCACCTTCTTTCTCAAAAGCTGGCATTGAATGAAATGGGAAGTCTAGATAAATGATGTCTCAGATGAGATAACACTATTAATAAAGCTCAGATAAATTAAACATGAAAAAGAATAACCAACTAACAGCTGTTTGAGAATTAAGATTGTTTTTGTTTTTGTTTTTTTTTAAAAGCAAAGAGTCAGAGACAGAACGAGAGCTCCCATCCACTGGTTCACTCCACAAATGCCAAGGAGCCAGGGACTCAATCCATGTTCTCTATACGTGGGTAATAGGGCCAAACTACTAGAGCCATCACCCTCTACCTCCCAGGTGCACATTAGCAGGAAACTGGAATGAAGAGTGGATCCAGGGCTTGAACCCAGGCACTTTGATATGGGATGTGGGCATCCCAGGTGGTGTCTTAATCACCAAATCAAGTGCTCGCCTCAAGAATTAAGAGTTTTAACTGTTATGATCTAATATAGCAACTGTGAGTTAGAGTTAGAATTTTTACATGAAAACAAAAGCTTCTGGAAGATATTTCATTTCTCCTTACTTACATAGTCATCACTTACTTTGTGCTAAGAGCTATGCTGAGCACAACTCAACAAAACATGGTCTCTTTCTTTGTGGAGTTTTTTTTTTTTTTTTTTTGTAAGGGATATTTCAGTAAAAGGAAACAACTAAATATATGTGTAACTATAAAGTGAGATAAGTACTATGAAGGAAATGAAAAGTTATTAGAATAAAGAATATCAGAATAACTTCTACTTAGAGTTGTCAAGGAAAGCTTTTCTGAGAAGAAATCATTGAGCTGAGTTAGTTACCTTTCAGGCAATTCCAAGTCTTCTTATCTACTGTAAACAGTCTCATGGACCCCTCTTTCCTAGACTGCATCTTTCTTGTCTCCTCTTAGCTCTGCCCCAGCCATGGGCTGAGTTAATCATATCTTGGCTCCAGTGAGCAAAGGGCTAGTCTCATTCATCCTTCTGCATTTCACTGTTGCTCTGGCTGGTCCCCTTAGCCATAGAACCTCACATTCTACACAGTGTGTCATCTGCTTCATTAACAAATGTCTTCCTAATATTGATAGCCCCTCATAATAGAACATCAATGCATTTTTTTACTAAAAACCTCCACCTCCAACAAGGTTAAGGATAAAGAGGGTATCAGAACATGAAAAGGACAGATAGCAACACTGTGCTTTGAATTGGGAGAAAGAAATAAGCATGAACAGAGAACTTGATCATGCAATATTGTTTGGTCATGTTAACCTTGAAATATCTGTGGTACTAATCCTACAGAAGCCTACAACCAGAGTTAGAGTTAAGGAACTAGGTCTCAGAAGAGAGCTCAAAAGAACTGTATTTAGATAATTTTGTTTCAAGATCCCCTACTGGTTGGCCTGGATCCACAGCATTATATTGCTGTAGTCCTTGAGCATTTTTCTCCTAGTGAATTGATTCTAAGAAATTTGAAGATTTAACTAACATGTAAAGTATGGCCTGCAAGTGGATGGGCCAACAGTGACTTCTGGGTTGGCATTTGGGTGACCAAATAAATCTAGTACCCAGAGTTTGAGTCAGCTGTTTCCATTTCAATTGTGCCTATAAATAACCCTCTTCAAGAAAACTAACTGCTCCCTCCTTAATAACCAGAGGACCACGAGTCAAACCTCTTTGAATCTAAGTTTCTTCGTTCTTATATCAGGGTTTAACATCTGTTTATGTCACAAGTGTATTATACTTTGGATGTAAATAATAGCTATCATTTTGGTCAGAATGTGCTGAAACTAATACACCCACACACTGCTGCTGCTTAGATAACAGTCTGGAAAATACACCAGAAACCATAAAACATGTAAACTCCTTTGACTCAACAATTTGGTTCCTGAACATTTATTCTCATGGAAAAATTAACTGTCGAAAAAGAAATACATTAGAAACATCTAGATAACTAACAATAGACCAGTAAAATGCAACATGTTGCCTTAGCCCAACAAAATTTTGATCAGACACTGTGGATTATATTCATGTGAAAAACTATTAGGAGGAAAATGGAAAAAAAAAAAAAACAAATGATATCTTCATGTAATGGAATTACAAATATTTTTTCTTATATCAACTTCTCTGAATGTTATTAATCTAGAACAATAATTAAAATACTTAAAAATATTCTAATTAAAAATCATGGGGCCCCAAAGTAACTTTCTTCTTATTGTGTCTTGTTTTTGTATTTAGGGAAATTATCGTTTCATGAAACTCTTACTTACACGCAGAGCAAACTGGATGCAAAAGGATCTAGAAGAGATGACTCCTTTGCACTTGACCACCCGACACAAGAGCCCTAAGTGTTTGGCACTTCTGCTGAAGTTTATGGCACCAGGAGAGGTGGATACCCAGGATAAAAACAAGGTAATGGTTTGTCAAAGTTGCAGACAAATAAGAGCAGAAAGCAAATACTTTCTTAATGATGTGAAACTAAAACCTCAAGGAAGAAGTCCTAAGTCATCACCCAAATACATAGTGGAACAATTCCAAGTCTCTATACATCCCAAGAAAGTATTCTGCTTAAGTTCCATCATTTTACCTTCTAACAACAGTGTATGGTAAGTAGTATCATCTCTTTTTTACAAATGGAAAAACTGACGCTCAGGGAGATTAAAATTTAGCCCAAAATCCAAATGGCAGGCCTAGAATTCAAACCCAGGGCTGTCTAACTCCAAAATCCAATATTTAGTAGATGATCATGGTAGTTAGATCTGGTAGTTGATAATGGTGGCCAGTGCCCAGAACAGTGTCGTAAGTGCATAAGTGATTCAGAAGCCTGGGGTTTGCCGTTAGACCTCTTGGATTTCAACCCAGAAGGCAGTGCTCACTTGTTCTTCATCTTTGGGCAAATTCCCTCTCTATGCCTCAATATTATCATACATGAGAAAAGGATATGGAATTATTGAAGATAAAATAAGACATTTAAATTAGATAGCACAATGCCCAATGTGTGGTATGCTCTCGATAAATGTTAGCTATGAAATAATTATCAGTTTTATTTCAGGACTAAAATTTGCCCTGGCATTTGTTGCTAGGATTTGTTATTTTTCCTTCTCTTGAATTTTAACATACTGTACACACTGGTCATTGTTTTCATTGATACCTTAATCATTCCTTTTAGGAAAAAATGTGCTCTTTAGTTAGTAAGAAGCAATATTTCTCTCCTTTTCACCAGGTACTTAGTCATAGAATCTTATTAAATCCTATTAAGACTCTTAGGATTACATCCACAAAACTTACTTGAGTAGTTCTTTCACTTTATAGTGTTCTTTATGTAGTTTTCAGATTCTGTTTAGGTGTTACCCAGAGCTTTGAGATCAGCTTTAACTTTACAACTACTGTATATTGGGGCCAGCACTGTGGTGCAGCGGTTAATGCCCTGTCCTGCAATGCCGGCATCCCATATCGAGATCTGGCTGCTCCACTTCCGATCCAGCTCTCTGCTATGGCCTGGGAAAGCAGTAGAAGATGACGCAGGTCCTTGGCCCCTGCACCCACGTGGGAGTTCTAGAGGAAGCTCCTGGCTCCTGTCTTCAGATTGGTGCAGTTCTGGCTGTTGCGGCCAATTGGGGAGTGAGCCAGCAGATGGAAGACCCCCCCCCCCCCCCGCCGCCCCGCCTCTCCTCTCTCTGTGTAACTCTTTCAAGTAAAAAAAAAAAAATATTTTTAAAAAATCTAAAAATAACAACTACTGTATATTAATTCATGGCATTTGTAGCACTAATATTTCACTGAAAAAAAGCACTTTAACAATACACAAAGACCCAGTAATCACTTAAGAAACTATAGATGTCTTGGGATTTATAATGTCTTGCCTAAAATGCTCTGGGAACTTTCTGATGTCTTATAGTGTCTGTGTTTTCATCCATTGTTGAACAGGGATGGGAGGTTATCTAAACAGACAGAAGGAAAACAGATCTGCATAGTCTAAAAGCAGGCACAGAGAAACAGCAATACTACAGCCTAAAGAGTGACTCAAACTATCTGTGTTAAAGGATTTTTTAAATTTCCTTTCACAGATCAATCATTTTATAATATACATTAAAACCAAAATGTGGTAATTACAAGTCTGTGTATCTGTCTGTGGATATCTGTCTGTCAACCTAATGGAATACAATTCAGCTTTTTTCTAGGATTTATTTGTTTAATTGAATGGCAGAGTAACAAAGAAAGGGAGACAGATAAGGAAATCTTCCATCTTCTGGTTCCCTCTCCAAATGACTGCAAAAGTTGGAACTGGGCATAGCCCAAGTAAGGAGCCAGGAATTCCATGCAGGTCGCCCACATGGGTGGTAGGGACTCAAGTACTTGGACCCGTTATTTGCTGCTTCCTAGTTTCATTAGCAGAGAGCAAGATTGGAAACAGAGTAGCTGGGACTTGAACTTGTACTCTGATATGGGATGTGGGCATCCGAAGCAGCATCTTAACCACTGCATCACCATGCCTACCTCACAATTCAGTCATTAAAAGGAATGAGATTCTGACATATGCTAAGCATGAATAAACTTTGGAGAAACATTATGCCAAATGAAATAAGTCAGACATGAAAGCACAAGCATGATTCCTCTCAGGAGGTACTTAGTATTGTCAAATTCATTGATATCAGAATTATAATGATGATTGCTAGGAGCTGGAGGCAGGTGAGAACAGGTAATTATCATCAAATTGCTATTGAGTTTCAGCTTGGAAAGATGAAAAAATTTTGGAGATGGATTGTGGTGATGGTTGTATAACAACATACATAATGCCACTGAATTGTACACCTAAATACAATTAAAATTTATATTTATGTTATATCTAGTTTACCACAATAAAAACAGTTACTAGAAAAATAAAAAATAAAAATGTGGAAAAGACAAGCCGAAACTTTTTAAAAAAAACTTATGTGAAAGGCAGAGAGACAAAGACAGGTTGAGAAAGTTCTTCCATTCACTGGTTCACTCCCCAGATATCCACAAAGCCAGGGCTGAGGCTGGGCCTGGGCAAAGTCAAGAGCCTAGAAGTGACTCCATATCTCCCCCTTAAGTGGCAGGGACCCAACTATTTGAGCCATCACTGCTGCCTCCCAGGGTGTGCTTTAAATGGAAGCATGAACAGGGAGCAGAGCCAAGGCTTGAACTCTAGGTACTCCAAAATAGGATGTAGGCATTCTAAGTGAACAAAATACCACCCCCAAATGCCCAAACTTTTTACTATTATGTTCAGCAGATATAATATTACTTTTCAGTAAATATAATCAGAACAAACATAACCTAGGAAAAGGAAGAAATTATAGGAACTTTTTTTATATAAAATATGGTTTTATGCAATTGTAGCTAAAATATTTAGGACTTTTTGTTCTGTAGTTGTTATTAAACAACAGTAATGAGTTAAATAGTGATTCTTCATTATTAAAGGCCTGTAAGTACAGTTTGAATGGATACCACATATATCAATTTTTAAAGTGTTTAATCTGACAGATGAGTTTGGTTCCTGCTTGTTAAATTACTTAATTCTAAATTGGATTGATAACAGTGCTACACAAAAGATAATGTATATGTAAGCAGTCTTGTTTTCCACAATAATTCTCCCAGTAGGAAAACTAGTCTCTTTTTTTTTAAGATTTATTTGTTTCTTTGAAAGTCAGAGTTACACACACACACACGCACACACACACATACACAGAGAGAGAGAGAGAGAGAGAGAGAGAGAGAAAGAGAGATAAAACTTCTACCCACATGTTCACTCCCCAGTATGGCCACAATGGCCAGAGCTGGGCGAGGCTGAAGCCAAGAGTCAGAAGCCTCTTCCAGATCTCCCACATGGTGCAGGTGCCCAAGCACTTGAGCCATCTTCCACTGCTTTTGTAGGCACGTTAGTGTTCATATGAGATGCCAGTGTCACAGGTGGCAGCTTTACCCACTGCACTACAATGCCGACCCTAGAAAATCAGTCTTACAGAGGTATCTTAATGAGAATGTCAGAAGAGATTTTAAATCAATTTCACTAAGATCAAGATTAATATTTTAATTTTTATCTAAAATAAACCAAGTACTCCTATATGCACATATTTTTGAAATATAATATTTCACCAGTAGCTAAAGCTAACAATGCTAACAATTGACCTTATAAATTAGTCAATTTAAATTTATCTTTTGTTAGAATGAATGGATTCCAGATCCATGAATCCCCAATGTCTTGATATTTTTTTTTTTTTTTTTAGATTTAATTTATTTACTTGAGAGGTAGAGTTACAGACAGTGAGAGGGAGAGACAGAGAGAAAGGTCTTCCATCCACTGGTTCACTCCCCAGGTGGCCACAATGGCCAGGGCTGAGCCAATCCAAAGTTAGGAGGCAGGAGCCTCCTCTAGGTCTCCTACATGGGTGCAGGGGGGGCATCCTCCACTGCTTTCCCAGGCCACAGCAGAGAGCTGGATCAGAAGAGGAGAAGCCAGGACATGAACCAGCGCACATATGGGATTCCAGCACCACAGGTGGAGGCTTAGCCCTCTACGACACAGCGCCAGCCCCTGCCTTGATATTCTTTGTGATAGATATTAATACTCAAAAAATTCTATAAAATTATTGAGGGACTTGGTGATAACCAGATAGGCAAAATCAAGATCATCATTACCTCATTGAATAATTAGCTGTAAATTATTGAGCCAGTTTTCTGTCTTCTGTGTTATTGTAGTAACTAATGAATTAAATGGCTCGCATGATGTAGAGGTCAGATTCTGAAGTCATTCTGTTAGGGATAACCTTAGTCCAGACACTTTCCACCTTCATGTCCTTAAGCAAATTATTTGTCTTCCTGTGTTTAGTTTCCTCATCAATTACATGCATAATAAAGTAAATAATTATCTGCCAGAGATGTCATGATGACTACATGAGATAAACATTATAGAACTCTTTGGGAATAAGAGAGGGAGGAGATATACAGTTCAGCACACTCTAACTAATCATAAAGATAGGATTAAGTGTCAAAGGGATCACATAAATAAGAACAGTGTCTGCTAATAATAATTGATAGAATTAAAGAGGGGAGAACAGTCCAACGTGGAAAGCAGGATATGCAGAAGACTCATAGAATGGCAAATACCCTAAGCAGCACTCTGGCCTCAGAATCAGCTCTTAAGACATTTGGTAGGGCTAAAAAGCTCATGAGAGTATTTCAGACATGGAAAGCCAAGACACTGTGGCAAAAAATGACCTAAATGAAAGATCTCTGTGAGTGAGATCCCGGTGGAAAGAAGGGGCTATCAAAGAAGGAGGTACCTTTCTCTGAAGGGAGGAGACAACTTCCACTTTGATTATGGCCTTGTCTAAATGAGGTGGGAGTTTGTGAACTCAAGAGACTTCCATAGCCTCGGCAGCTCATGACAAGAGCTTCGAATAATCACTGACGTCATGAATAAGAGTGTCAATTGTTAAATCAACAACAGGAGTCACTGTGCACTTTCTCCCCATGTAGGACCTCTGTCCTTAAAGTGTTGTACTATGAAAATTAACGGTAAAACTAGTCTTCAAACAATACTTTATACTTTGTCTGTGTGGGTACAGAAACTTTTGAAAACTTTACTTAGTATAGAGTTGATCTTTTGTATATAAAGATAATTAAAAATGAATCTTAATGAAGAATGGGATGGGAAAGGGAGGAGGAGGTGGGATGGTTTGGGAGTGGGAGGGTGGTTTTTTTTGGAAGAGCTGCTATAATCCAAAAATTCTGCTTTTGAAATTTATATTTATTAAAAGTTTTTATTAAAGCAAAGTATAAATGTATATATATATATATACGTGTATATGTATATATATGTATGTATGTATATATATATATATATCTTAGAATAGTGCCTTTTACACAGTAGCAGCTTGGGAAAAGCTCATTGTTGTTATTTTGCAGCAAACAGCTCTGCATTGGAGTGCCTACTACAATAACCCTGAGCATGTGAAGCTGCTCATCAAACATGATTCCAACATTGGAATTCCTGATGTTGAAGGCAAGATCCCACTTCACTGGGCAGCCAACCATAAAGATCCAAGTGCTGTTCATACTGTCAGATGCATTCTGGTGAGTAGAATAGTGCTGCCAGCCCTCAATGGCCTTTATTAGAGAAATTTTTGTTATGAAATATCCATTAGGTACAGAAGCATATAAGTGACATACAAGCAAATTATGAAGCAAAACAATAACACCAAACATGTGAACCCATTCCACAAGAACTAGAACATTTTAATAACCACCATTTAAGATCCCATAGAAATTTCCTGTATTCTAGTTTCTGAATGCATTTGTTCCCCAGATGCCATGCTCATTGCCATCCCCTATTGACTACATTTCCAAATTTCTGTATTTATCATCCCCTTACTTTGTTTTTGTTTTTCAGAGATTCATTTATTTTATTGTTTTAATTTTTTAATTTATAAAAAAGGAACATTACAATTTTTTTTGACAGGCAGAGTTAGACAGTGAGAGAGAGAGAGAGAGACAGAGAGAAAGGTCACCCCACAAATGGCTGCTGTGGCCAGCGCACTGCACCAATCTGAAGCCAGGAGCCAGGTGCTTCCCCCTGGTCTCTCATGCGGGTGCAGGGCCCAAGCACTTGGGCCTCCTCCACTGCCCTCCCAGACCACAGCAGAGAGCTGGACTGGAATAGGAGCAACTGGGACAGAATCCGGCGCTCCAACTGGGGCTAGAACCCGGGGTTCCGGCACCGCAGGCGGAGGATTAGCCAAGTGAGCCACAGCACTGGCCAGATGATAGCCATTCTAACTGGGATGAAGTGAAACCTCATTGTGGTTTTTATTTGCATTTCCCTGATGGCTAGTGATATTGAACCTCTTTTCATGTGTCTGTTGGCCATTTGTATTTCATCCTTTGAACAATGCCTATTCATATCCTTAGCCCATTTCTTAACTGATTGCTTATTTTGTTGTTACTGATTTTCTTGAGCTCATTATATATTCTGGATATTAATCCTTTAACAGATGTATAGTTTAGAAATAACTTCTCCCATTCTATCAGTTACCTTTTCTCTATGTTAAATATTTCCTTTGCTGTGCATAAGCTTCTTAGCTTGACATAATCCCATTTGTCTATTTTTGCCTTTATTGTCTATGCTCTGGAGCCTTATTTGAGAAGTCTTTGCCTGTGCCAATGTCTTGCAGTGTTTCCCTTATGTTTTCCTCTAGTAATTTGATGGTTTCAGGTTTTAGATTTAGATCCCTGATCCATTGTGAGTAGATTTTTGCATAGGGTGTAAGGTAGGAGTCTTGTTTCATACTTCTGCATGCAGAGATCCAATATTCTCTACACCATTTGTTGAAGAGACTGTCCTTTGTACATAGAGTGATTTGTCACAGATTAGTTGGTTATAGATGCATGGATTAATTTCTGGGGTCTTTAGTCTGTTCCATTGATCAATGTGTCTATTCTAGTGCCAAAGCTAGCCTGTTCTGATTGTAACTGTCCTGTAATGTATCCTGAAATTAACTATTGGGATACCTCTAGCTTTTTTTTTTATTTAGGATTGCTTTAGCTATTTAGGGTCTCTTTTGATTCCATAAGAATTTTAGGGTCATATTTTTCTAGATCTGAGAGGAACGTCTTTGACATTTTGATTGGTATCACATAGCATCTGTAAATTGCTTTGGGTAGTATGGACATTTTGATGATATTAATTCTTCCAAACAATGAACATGGAAGATCTTTCAATTTTTTGTGTCTTCCATTTCTTTTCTTAAGGTTGTAATTTTCATTGTAGAGATCCTTCACAACCTTGATTAAATTTATCCCAAGTGATTTAATTTTTTTGTAGCTATTGTGAATGGTACTGATCTCACAAGTTCTTTCTCAGCCATGGGCATTGTTTATATGTACAAAGGCTATAGATTTTTGTGTGTTGATGTTTGTAGCCTGCGATTTTGCTTAACTCTGAGTCCCATTAATCACTTATTGAACTTTTTGGTTCTCTTATGTATAGGATCATATCAGCAAACAGAGATAATTTGACTTCCTCCTTCCCCATTTGTATTCCTTTGATTTCTTTTTCTTGTCTAAAGGCTGTGGATAAAACTTCCAGAACTACACTGAATAGTAACAATGAGGGCGGGCATCATTGTCTGGTTCCAGATATTAGAGGAAATGCTTCCAGCTTTTCCTCATTCAATATGATGTGGACTGTGGGTTTGTCATAAATTGCTTTATTGTGTTGTTCCTTATATACCCAATTTGCTTAAGGTTTTTATCATGAAAGGAATTTATATTTTATTAAATGCTTTCTCTACATTTCTTGAGATAATCATATGTTGTTTTTTTTTTTATTTTGACAGGCAGAGTTAAGACAGTGAGAGAGAGAGAGAGAGAGAGAGAGACAGAAAGGTCTTCCTTCCATTGGCTCACCCCTCAAATGGCCGCTATGGCCAGCGCGCTGTGCTGATCTGAAGCCAGGAGCTTCCTCCTGGTCTCCTGTGCGGGTGCAGGGCCCAAGCACTTGGGCCATCCTCCACTGCCTTCCTGGGCCACAGCAGAGAGATAATCATATGGTTTTTATTCTTCAGTTTGTTAATGTAATGTATCACATTTATTGTTTTGCATGTGTTGAACCATCCCTGCATGCCAGTGATAAATCCCACTTGGTCTGGGTGAATGATCTTTCTGATGTGTTGTTGGATTCAATTGGCTAGTATTTTGTTGAGGGTTTTTTCATCTATGTTCATCAGGGACATTATCTATAGTTCTCTTTTTCTGTTGTATCTTTTTCTGGTTTAGGAATTAAGATGATTCTGGCCTCATAGAAGGAGTTTGGAAGTATTCCATCCCTTTCAATTGTTTTGAATAGTTTGAGAATAATTGGAGTCAGTTCTTCTTTGAAAGTTTGATAGAATTAAGCAGTGAATCTATCCAGTCCTGAACTTTTCTTTATTGGAAAGGTCTTTTTTTGAAGATTTTATTTATTTATTTAAGAGGTAAAGTTACAGACAGCGAGAGACAGAGAGAAAGATCTTCCTTCCATTGGTTCACTCCCAAAATGGCCACAACAGCCAGAGCTACGCCAATCTGAACCAGGAGTCAGGTGCTTTTTCCTGATCTCTCATGTGGGTGCAGGGGCCCAAGCACTTGGGCCATCTTCTGCTGCTTTACCAGGCCATAGCAGAGAGCTGGATTGGAAGAGGAGTAACCAGGGCTAGAACTGATGCACATGTGGGAAGCTAGCACCACAGGTGGAGGATTAACCTACTGCACCACAGCGATGGCCCAGGGAGGGTCTTCATTACTGATTCAGTCTCCTTGTTGGTTATTGGCCTGTTTAGGTTTTCTTTGTGTTTATGACTCAATTTTAATTGATTTTGTGTATTCAGCAATCTATCCATTTCCTCTAGATTTTCCAATTTCTTGGCATATAGCTGTTTGTTATAATTTTGATGATACTTTTTACCTCTGTGGTAAGTATTATAACATCTCCTTTTTCATATTTGATTTTATTAATTTAGATATTCTCCCCCTCTCTGCCATTTGTTTTTGGTTATGTGGGCCAGTAGTACATAAATTTTTTTTTTTAAAACCATGTTTTCATTTCTCTGATCTTTTGTATCTTTTTTTGTTTCAATTTTATTTCTTCTCTGCTTTTTATTATTTTTTTCTTCCAATTAATTTTGGATTTAGTTTGTTCATGTTTTTCTAGATCTTTGAGAGATATTTATTTATTTATTTGAAAGGCATAGAGAGAAGGAGCGAGAGTCTGCAGATTCACTCCCCAAATGGCTGCTGTTGGTGTAGGCTGACACCAGGAGCCAAGAACTCCATCCTGTTCTCCCACATACTGACAGGGCCCAACTCTCAGTCTTCCAGAACTGTTCTATTCTGCTTTCTCAGAGGCAACTACTCTCTTCAGTTTATCACTCCACTGATTTTCATTATAGTTTTTTCTCATTTATTTGCATCCATAAACTATATTATTTAGTTTTTAATGTTTTTTAATTTCATATATGTAGAATCATATTGTATGTTTTCTTTTGCAGTGTGCCTCTTTTGCTCAACCTTATACTGGTGCTTTTATCTGTATTGCTAGGTATAGTTATAATATATTGATTTTTACCACAATATATTATGAATAAACCATACATTACTAATTCTGTTATTGACAAATATTTGGCTCTTTCCAGGTTTTTGCTACTTACAAACTGAGCCACACTGAATATTTTTTAACAGGTCTCACATTTTATGGGTTGTTACAGATATATAAAAATGGAATTGATATTTCTGTTCATTGATTATATACATAAGTCAATTAGCTAAACTCCTTATTAATTTTTAGTACTACTCAGTAGATTCTTCAAGGTTTTCTACTCATTCCATCTTCTAAGTAACATGTTATTGTAATCCAATATTTAGTCCTATTTTCTTTTAATATGCAAATTAGCTCTTAAACATATACTTTTGTATAATGATTACTTACTACTTATTTTTTCTTTCATGTTAAATATTTCTACTTGCATGTCAACTTCTTTTCTCTGAATTTCTTCTTGAATCTCAAAATTTACTTCTAGAGTTATCTTACCTCCTAAAATATAGTCCTCAACCTTATTAGTATAGACCTATTGTGGTAAAGTTTCTTTGTTTTTAATTGTTAAGAATGTCTGCATTTCAAAAGAAGTTTGATCGTAAAAACATAGTTTTCCTAAGTGCACATTCATAGGTAGTTCTTTTTCTGAGATTTTTCAGGATATTATCTTAGTTGCTTTCTGCCATTATTGTTGCTGTTTTTTTTTTTTTTAAAAAAGATTTATTTATTTGAAAGTCAGAGTAACAGAGAGAGAGAGGGAGTGATAGAGAGACACAGAGAGAGATCTTCTATCTGCTGGTTCACTCTCTAAATGGCTGCAATGGCCAGAGTTGGGTTGATCGGGAAACAGGAGTCAGGAGCTTCTTCTGATCTGCCATGCAGATGCAGAGGTCCAAGGATTTGGACCATCTTTTACTGTTTTTCCAGGCAATAGCAAAGAGCTGGATCAGAAGTGGAGCAGCCAGGACTAGAACCGGCGCCCATATGGGATGCCAGCACCGCAGGCACTGGCTTTACCTGCATGCCACAATGCAGGCCCCTGTTGTTGCTTTTGAAGTGTCTGTTATTGGTCTCATTGTCATTCCTTTGTAGATGATCATTTTATCTTTTATTTCAGGCTGCTTTTAAATTCTTTTGGCATTCTATAGTTTTATTACAATATATCTAGGTGTTGACTTTAAAAATCATTTGGTCTACATTCTGGTTATTGTATCTCAGTTCTGTAATGTATATAGCTATTATCTTTTTAAAGATTTATTCATTCTAAAAATATTTATTTATTTATTTATATGAAAGAATTACAGAGGGTGTGGGAGCGACAGGGAGAGAGGGATCCTCCATCTGATGGTTCATACCCCAAATAGCCGCAACAGTCAGGACTGGGCCAAGCTGAAGCTAGGAGCCAGGAGCTTCATCCTGGTCTCCCAGGAGGGTAGCAGGGGACCAAACATTTGGGCCATCTTCCACTGCTTTTCCCAGGCCATTAGCAGGAAGCTGGATGGGAAGTGGAACAGCCTGGATATGAACCAACACCCATATGGGATGCAGATGTCACAGGAAGAGACTTAACCCATTATGCCAAAATGTTGGCCCCTTATTATCTATTTAAACATTGCTTCACCTTCATTGTCTCTACTTTTGCCTTTAGGGTCTTCAGTTATATACATTTTAGTCCTTGTCATTTTATCTTCCTGCTCCCTAACTTCTCTTACAGTCCTACCTCCTTGTCTCTTTCTTAAATTCTAGGTAATCACATCAGATCTATCTTCCAATTTGCCAGGTATTTTTTTTTAAGATTTTTATTTATTTATTTGAGAGGTAGGGTTACAATGAGAGGGAAAGAAAGGTCTTCCATCTGCTGATTCACTCCCCAAATGGCCGCAACGGCCGGAGCTGCACTGATCCAAAGCCAGGAGCCAGGAGCTTCTTCCAGTATCCCACACGGGTGCAGGGGCCCAAGGCCTTGGGCCATCTTCTACTGCTTTCCCAGGCCACAGCAGAGAGCTGGATCGGAAGAAGAGCAGCCGGAACTAGAACCAGCGCCCATATGGGATGCCGGCACTGCAGGCGGAGGATTAACCTACTACACCACAGCGCCAACCCCTGCTAAGGTCTTTTGAATCCAATCTGTTGTTTATCCTAATCACCAATTCTTTAATCTTAGTGTTTCTATTTTTCACTTCTAAAAGTTTTTTTTTTTTCAAATCTGACTGGTCTTTTTGTAATTTTTCTTCCTTAGTCATCTTTTATTTCATTTTTATTTTCCTACATGTTTCATAGAGAGTTACTTATATTTTTATATGTTAGTTCTAATATCTGAAGTTTCTAGGAAAGAATTCTTTTATCTTTTCTTACTTCCTCACAAATTTGGCCTATTTTTTTCTTATATACACATCTTACTTCTTGGAAGAATCAAGGGGCCTAAAATGCCATCCTGATAAAATTCTACTTTTTTTTTTTTTTTGAAATGTTTATGGGTATCTGTCATACCCTTGTTTATACAATAGTCTGACTGTACAGGTAACTGCTGGGTGGCCCTTCAGAGAGTTCTCCAATTTGGGCAAGAAGGCTTGGCTTTGGGTGTGACCTAGTCTGAGTATGAACTTGACCTTAGTTGAGGTCACTCTTTAGCTGAAGTAGTTCCAGAAACTGACATTGGAATATCTTCTGCTGGTAGAAATAATTCCTTTAGTCTTGAAAGGAAACTAAACAATGCATGATAATGCCTGCTACAAAGATCCAGTAGATTAATGAATAAATGTCATGAACCATCATATTGCAGAGAAGTAAGCTGAATCATCAATAAACATATGATAAAAAAAAACTCAAGCTTATTTATAAAAGAGCTACAATTTAAAACATTAACAAAAGATTTCTCATTCCCAAAGAGGAAAAGGTGTGGTAAGCTTGATACTACCAAGTGATAAATTTGTGCCAGCATATGGGGAGATAAAAACTTTAACACATTGACATAGGTATGGTAATTGGCATAGCCATTTGGAGAGCAAATTGACAATACCTAGGTGAAGATGCAGATGTCCTTCAGCCCAGCAATTCTTTGGGTATCTAGCAGAGAAAAATCTTATACATGTATTACAAAGGACATATAAAAGAAACACATTTATCACAGCATTATTTGCAATTGTGAAACCAAAATAAAAATCAGAAATAACCTAGGAGAATGGATAACTAAATTTTGGTTTATTGCCATGGGACTCCATATCCCATTAAGTTGGCAGGTACCAATGCCATCTTACTAGTTAAAGTGATCAGTCTAAGTTCATAACTGATCATAAAGATAGGATTAAGTGTCAAAGAGATCACATAAATAAGAACAGTGTCTGCTAATAATAATTGATAGAATTAAAAAGAAGAGAAAGATCTGACATGGGAAGCGGGGTACACAGCAGATTCATAGAATGACAAATGCCCAAAACAGCACTCTGGCCTCAGAATCAGCCCTTAAGGCATTCAGATCGGGCTAAGAAGCCCATGAAAGTTTCTCAGGCATGGAAAGCCAAGACACTGTGGCAAAAAATGACCTAAATGAAAGATCTCTGTGAGTGAGATCCCGGTGGAAAGAAGGGGCTATCAAAGAAGGAGGTACCTTTCTCTGAAGGGAGGAGACAACTTCCACTTTGATTATGGCCTTGTCTAAATGAGGTCGGAGTTTGTGAACTCAAGAGGCTTCCATAGCCTTGGCAGCTCATGGTGATTACTAGCCTAGGGTGATTACTGACATCATAAAAAAAAGTGTCAATTGTTAAATCAACAACAGGAGTCACTGTGCACTTGCTCCCCATGTAAGACCTCTGTCCTTAATGTGTTGTACTATGAAAATTAATGGTAAAACTAGTCTTCAAACAACACTTTATACTTTGTATGTCTGTGTGGGTGCAAAAACTGTTGAAATCTTTACTTAGTATAGAGTTGATCTTCTGTATATAAAGATAATTAAAAGTGAATCTTAATGAAGAATGGGATGGGAGATGGAGTAGGAAGTGGGATGGTTTGGGGGTAGGAGGGTGGTTATAGTGGGTGGAACTGTTATAATCCAAAAGTTGTACTTTCAAAATTTATGTTTATCAAATAAAAGTTTCTCTTAAAATAATAAAAATAAATAAATAAATTGTGGTTTATTTATATACTTCAACAAATGAACTAGAACCAACATAGATACCCAAAAAGTATAATGTTGAAAGAATTTGCCTAAGGATATACACATATATTACCATAACATAAATATTGAAAACACACATACAAAATCTATATATTTGTTTATGTATGCTTTTATATGTACAAAAGTACAAACCTTACAGCTTTAGCTGAATCCATAACAGATACAAAGGCACATTAGATAAAATGTTGAATTCTTTTTAATCTGGATAGGCAATGTGTGGTGGTTTCGTATTCTTTTCAGTACTTTTTATAGTTAAATATGAAAATAAATTTTTTAAGAATGTAAACTGAATGCTTTTTTCTGCATTTATCATTTTACTTGTGCTGACAGAGAATATAGAAGTTTTGTATAGTTCAGTTAATACTTATGCTAACTATAATTCATTGAGGATTCCATGTGTGTCTGAAGTCTCTGGTTCCTTAAAAATAGGATGCTGCTCCAACAGAGTCTTTACTGAACTGGCAAGACTATGAGGGTCGGACACCTCTTCACTTCGCAGTTGCTGATGGAAATGTGACAGTGGTTGATGTCTTGACCTCATACGAAAGCTGCAATATAACATCTTATGATAACTTATTTAGAACCCCACTTCACTGGGCAGCTTTATTAGGTAAGTTAGATGTAAAGCAAAAGACCAACAGTAGGAGGAAATTTCTGTGTCTTCTCTTCCCCAGTTGGTTCCCACCTACTTTTTAATTTTAGTTTCTAATTGATACATTGTATTATTTTATAAAATAAACCTTCTATTTTATGCTTATATTTTAGTAATAAGAATTACTTTCTGTTAAATATTGATTTTAATTTCGACATCCTTTCTTAATTGCTTTTACTATAAATGTAGTAAATAATCATGGACAGTAGGTGAAAGTAACATGATCCCATTTCTCATTCAGTGTCTTTACTTCTGAGGGGAAAGCTTTATTTTTTGTTTGTGCTGATATTTTATTTGATTTTCTGGGGGATCACTTTTGTACATAAAAGAGCATATTTATATTTATGTTATTTGTGTTTCTGTTGGATTTGGGGGGATATTCTAATAGTCGTTGTTTTAGGGTAGATAGGCCTTTTTTCTGCTATTTTGATCCTTATTAGTGTTTTAAGTTTTCTTATTAATATGGGGGATTATTTTTCCTGTTTCCTTTGTTTTATGCTTTTTTGATATATGTACTAGGTGTGATAGTTTCATTTGGGTTTTAATTGCCTAATGCTTTGGGAGGTTTTTAGATTCTATTAGTCATTTATTTTAAATTTATCAAGAACATTTTTAAGCCTGAGTCAGAGTCAAGAGCAAAACTACATGTATTGATTCCCACCTACTTAAGATAAGGAATTTAGCACCCTTTCACATAATACTCTTTTAGTAACTGTTAATATAATCTGAGCTTCTGGTTATCAGCTTGATAATTGTCTCTTTTGAAAGTGATTTTTGTTGTATTCAGTTTTATAATCAGATTTAAAATAATTATTTATACTTAAACATACAGGTATATGGTTTATTCCTTTCCCTCTGGATTCTGGGCTTGCTTTTCAGATTGGTCTTCACATCACTAAATTGGCTTTTTGTTCCATAAATTCTGCTTTATTTCAGCCACCTGTATATGTATATATTTTAGATTATATTTTTATTTCCTTCCCTCATCCGTATTTCTTTTTATTCTGTCTTGTTTTATTTTTGCCTCCTTCTGTTACCTTTTATTTCAGTCTGTTTTCTTCTTAGGATATTCTGTTTCTGTTTCATAGAAGCCGTCTCTTTTAGCACTTAGTCAACAGTGCCAGTGACCTGAAATGTTCCTCTGGATCCTTCTGTAGTTCATTTTCAGAGGTATGCTCTGTATCTTTATCTTTGATGCTTTTTTTTTTTTGCCTGTCCTGTAGTATGTTTTCAGAGAGCTTTTACTAAAATTTTCTCTTTATTCCTGAAATGAGATGAGATGTGTTTAGATGAACTCTGTGAGATAGATCCTTTGATCCCACCTTCGTAGATAACTCCATCTTAAACCAAGTCTGTAGAGCCAATAGATGAGTACAATTCCCAAGCAAAATCCTCTTTTCTGCCTGGCTTTCATGCAGCTGTGTCCTTGCTATCCTAATATCGACATCTCTATTGCCTGGTGCCCCAAAGCACTGAAGCAGTAGTAGATGAAATTCATTTCCCTACATATATGATAACCCAATTTGCTCATTCTTGAACTTTTCTACCAGTTCCTCACTGGTGGAGACCACTTCTTCCAGAATGCTCTGCAGAGTGTTGTCCTTATTACTACTTTGTTATACTTTTTTTCCTGGGATTTGAGATCACTGCCTGGATGTTCAAAGACTGAAGGATGGATATTAGAGGGCAGAGGGGATGGTCAGGAGGCCTCAGAAATAAAAGAGATTGTGTTATCACTTGTCCACCTGAATACAGGAGAACAGTCTACAGTTCTGAGCGTTTTGGGCCGTGGACCCTTGAGAACAGGAACAGTAATGGCTAAGATGGCCTGGCTCTGAGACACCTTCCCTTCATTGAGACAGGCAACTTTATAACATGAAGCCAGAGAATGCGGAGGTTATTATACCTACTGTAGTTGTTTCTCAGTCTGGAAATTATCATTAATGCCGTTTCCTTCTTGACTGAAGCATGGAGTTGTTACTGTTGTAGGTTTTCACTTCTGTTATACCTTACGGTGTGCTAGTGAGAGGTTAGAAGGGGCTGCATTGGGAGCTGCTATTCGGAAACCATTTTGGATGCTTCATTATGTGCTAGTCTTCTAAATACATTACAAATTGGTCAAAGTCCTTTGTAGATGGTAACTACTTTCTTTTGTCTCTTCTCAGGCCACGCACAGATTGTTCATCTTCTTTTAGAAAGAAATAAGTCTGGAACTATCCCATCAGACAGCCAAGGTGCAACACCCTTACATTATGCAGCTCAGAGTAACTTTGCTGTAAGTAAAACAGGCAATTCTTTTTTTTTTGTAATGAAATTTTTAATTTTGTTTTAATTATAGATTTAAATGCAGTTAGAAGAAATAAGATTCCTTTTCCCCTCACCCAGTTTACCCTGATGATAATATCTAGTACAATATCATAAATAAGAAATTAATATTAATGTAATCCACTAATCTTATTCAAATTTCACCAGTTTCACATGCACTCATTTGTCTGTATAACAATTATCTTTTTTTTTTTTTTTTTGACAGGCAGAGTGGACAGTGAGAGAGACAGAGAGACAGAGAGAAAGGTCTTCCTTTACCGTTGGTTCCCCCTCCAATGGCCACTGCGGCCGGTGCACTGCGGCTGGCGCACTGTGCTGATCCAAAGCCAGGAGCCAGGTGCTTCTCCTGGTCTCCCATGCGGTGCAGGGCCCAAGCACTTGGGCCATTCTCCACTGCCTTCCCGGGCCACAGCAGAGAGCTGGCCTGGAAGAGGAGCAACCGGGACAGAATCCGGCGCCCCGACTGGGACTAGAACTCGGTGTGCCGGTGCCGCAGGCGGAGGATTAGCCGGCCACCAATTATCTTTTAAAAATTGCTCGTGCTGTTAACTCTGACTTGATCGAAGTGTCAGAATTTTTAGTAACGTTGTATAAAGCTTTTATTTGAATTTTCAATTTGACATTTTATTTTATGCTAAGTAAATATACTTCATATTTTTTTTACTTTTATGACACTAAAGACATCTAGTGTTTAGCAATCTGTAATTGTCTCAAAAGCAGTAAGACAAAGCTGCACTCCTGACTGTGCAGTTTGCTATTTGTATGATATTGTGCAAATTTCTCAACCAGAATCTTAGTTTATTCATATGGAAAATGTGGACAATTATACCTTTTCTTCCATGATTGTTGTAAAGCTTAGAGAAAATTTACAACAATGGCTTACTGTAATTCTTGGCATACAGCAAATATTCAAAATATAAAATGGATTTTAATTATTACTAGCCCAATAATTAGCTATTATACATCTGAAAAATAAAAAATATGAATTACTTCCAAAAATACTGAATACTATTACCAGCCGGTGCCGCAGCTCACTAGGCTAATCCTCCGCCGGCGGCACTGGCACCCTGGGTTCTGTCCTGGATGCTCCTCTTCCAGTCCAGCTCTCTGCTGTGGCCAGGGAGTGCAGTGGAGGATGGCCTAAGGGCTTGGGCCCTGCACCCACATGAGAGAGCAGGAGGAAGTGCCTGGCCCCTGCCTTCGGATCGGCGCAGCGCTCTGGCCATAGCGGCCATTTGTGGGGTGCACCAATGGAAAAGGAAGACCTTTCTCACTGTCTCTCTCTCTGATGGTCTACACTCTACCTGTCAAAAAAAATATACTGAATACTATTAATAATTCTCCTCCTCACAGCCTTTAATAGTTTACAAAACACTTTCTCATCTTTTATTTACTCAACTCATCTAACAACACTATAATATCAGGGCTCCTTCAACTACCTGATTCCAGTGGTCACTGAGACCCAGAGATTCATCCAAAGAGGTGCTCATTAAAGCAGTCATAATTGATTTTGCTGCCTTCTACAAGTGTGGAAAACCTTGGTTTCATTAAATTATAATGATGCTATCATCAACCAAGGATAATTCTGTCTTCCTGACCTCTCCAAATATTTAGATTGCTATTATTTCCACATCATTCTTACTCTAGTATCCAGAACAAAGGTAGCTATAGTTCTTCTTGGCATTCCTAGAAGTTAATTAAAAGCCGGTGCCGTGGCTCAATAGGCTAATCCTCCGCCTAGCGGCGCCAGCACACCGGGTTCTAGTCCCGTTTGGGGCGCCGGATTCTGTCCCGGTTGCCCCTCTTCCAGGCCAGCTCTCTGCTGTGGCCCAGGAGTGCAGTGGAGGATGGTCCAAGTCCTTGGGCCCTGCACCCCATGGGAGACCAGGAGAAGCACCTGGCTCCTGCCTTCGGATCAGCGCGGTGCGCCGGCTGCAGCACACTGGCCGTGGCGGCCATTGGAGGGGGAACCAACGGTAAAGGAAGACCTTTCTCTCTGTCTCTCTCACTAACTACTCTGCCTGTCCAAAAAAAAAAAAAAGTTAATTAAATTGATCATGTGAGTTTTAACAAGCAGTTTGTCTTCTATTATTTCCCAACTTCTCAGAAACATACAAAATAGTTTTTTGAGAAGGAGCTCCTTCTTATTACAAATAGATAAAAATATTCACTTGGCTCTGTCCAATCTATAGAAATTAGAACTCAGTCTATAATTTAACACAAGCCTATGAGATACATCATGTTATCACATTTACATATTTAAAAAACCAACATTCCAAGAGTGGAGATTGACTTATCCATGACCTTAAACCCGAGTCTTAGACTCCAAATTTAACAAATGTACAGATACCAATGATTAAATAACTACATAATGGGAGTAAGAAAGAGTGGGAGAATATTTTGAATGTTTATCTAAAGAAATATTTCCTATGCATAGTCTGCCAATTATAGAGTTGATTTTGATAGTTATGCAAATTCTCTAAGCTCTGTTTTAAGACTCTTGAACTTCTTGGCCTCTATTAGGTCACACTATAATCTTTCTTTGAAAAACAAGAAAAAATTAATCTTCTCTGGAGGCATGCTTGAACATATATGGATCTCTGCATGTAAAGTGTCCAAGAAAACACTTTTTAAAAATTTTATTTATTTGAAAGACAGAGTTAGAGAGAAAAGGAGAGATATAAAGATCTTCCATCCTCTGGTTCACTCCTCAAATGCCCACAACCACCAGAGCTGGCCCAGACCAAATCCAGGAGCCAAGAGCTTCATCTGTCTCTCCCATTTGAGTACAGGGGCCCAAGGACTCAGGCAGTCTTCCACTGCTTTCCCAGGTGCATTAGCAGGGAGCTTGATCAGAAGTGGAACAGCTGGAACTTAAACCACCACCCATCTGGGGTGCTGGCATTGCTGGTAGCGGGTTAACTCATTATGCCACAACACCGACCCCAAGAAAACATTTTATTGTTGGTCTTGACATTGAATACTTTTGTATCTTTTGTCACTTCACTTAACAATGACCTGTAAAGTTTTCAAGCTTAATTGAAGATGATCATTTGCAGTTTTAAAAATGTTGGATGATGTTTTCACAGGGTTACAGAGACTAAAACTAATATAGAAGGAGAAGGACAGAGAATTGTTATTGTCAATGGAAATTGTAGCTATTTATAAAAACATAATTTCATTTGATAGAAAAAAAAGAAAAATGCTTTGCTTCTTAGTGAAAGTCACATATAATAGTGGCTTTGTTAGGTCAGAAGATATTACCCTGTTATCTCAATTTTTTAAAAAAAGTTTTTTTTACAGGAAACAGTTAAAGTGTTTTTAAAACATCCTTCAGTGAAAGATGATTCAGATCTTGAAGGAAGAACATCTTTTATGTGGGCAGCTGGGAAAGGCAGTGATGATGTCCTTAGGACCATGCTGAGTTTAAAATCTGACATTGATATTAATATGGCAGACAAATACGGAGGCACAGGTAAGAAGTGGTGGACGGTTTCAGTTTATTTTCATTCTGGCTGTAAGTCTAGATGGTGATATAAAACTTATAAAGTGGTAACCTGAACTTTTCGTTATTAATCTAATATTGTTTTAGTTTGATCTTCACTTTTTAGGTTTGGGTTTGCCAGGCTATCACTCCAAAGGCTTTATTTCTTCCAAGCATTATAGCTATAATTAGCCTTTGTTTTTACTGAGTAAAAAGTAGTATTTGGTTTAATACCCTGGTCTCCTTAGATATGATTATAGGAACTCTTTTCATTATGTATCTTTATGTAAAAGCATAAATCCATACTTTAAAATTATGCTAATGTAGTATTTATTAATTATATTTTCAAAAATTTATAATTATATTAGAAAGAATACATCCCTCTAAGTGTGTTCTCTTTCACTGTGCTCTTTTCTCAAATTTGACTAACACTACTGCATTCTAATCCTCCCATTGCCATAACTATAGAGGTTTTAAAGCTTCAAGTCAGCCTTGCATCCAGGTCCTTTACGAGATGCTTCTTTTAATCTCTTTTTATAATAAGGGAGCCCTCTAAATATGTATTAGTTATTAAAAGAGATGCACGTTTTTTAGCAACTTAGAGGTCTCTTCTTTGTGCAGTGTATCCTAATTGCAAATCAGAAAGAAAAAAAATCACGCTCCAGTGAAATAATAGGACAGGCTTCTCAGTGTTTTTATTATTTACAGAAACATACTAAAGCCATTTGTCCCTACATATTGTCATAAACAAGATCTCTCTTGCCTGCTAAAACTATTGATGCAGCTCTAGAGGGAGATGAGGTGGAGGACTGCTACACTTCTGTCTCCCTTCTAATACCAACACCACAACACCCTTAAAAATTTTTCAGAACAGGATATAGGTAATATCTGTTTTATAATAAAGGCTCTAGCATTCAAAAGTATTTCTTTATCAGAGCTTCACAGCATATCTTAAGTTTCCTACAGAAAATACTGTAGACACATTGATCAGAACAGTTTATGTTTTCTCCAGTTTTAATTAGTATGTAGTCTTCTACTTTTTCGCTTTGTCTTTTGTTCAGCTTTTTCTTGTATTTTAATAAGATATGGGCAAAGGGTTGCATCCTCTTGACCAGAAGTGCTTTTTGGATGTGCACAATGGTTATAGTTTAGACATAAATTTCTCACAGCTTCATTAGTTCCTTGGGTTATTTTTCTTTGGGGATTTTATTATATGTCAGAAATGCCTTCTTGTCATTTCTGTTCTGTGAATATGAGCTCCTTTCCTTCATTCTTCTACAGGGTTGTTTTTTCCTTTCCATCTTCCCATTAAGAAGAGACTTTTACCAATAGCAAAGTATGGACATTATTTGGAATCCCGATTCAAACAAATAAACTATTAAAGCCATTAGAGAAGTGTCAGCATTATCTGGATATTTGATTATATTATGGAATTGATGTTAAGACTTTTAGGTATGATAATGACATTGTGGTTATACCAGTGATTAAGCTCTTGTCTCTTATTTTCAAGCTTATGCTTTAATCCTTTCTTTGCTATGCTAGGCCTAGAGCTGGGCAAATCAGTTTACTTTTCCATTAGGTACCCTCTTGAAGCCTGCCAGTAGGCGACAGTAGAGGAAGACTGGAGGATGGGGTTACATCTTCCTGTATGCTTCCTGTTCTTTTTGTTCCCTGCTCTTATCAGCACCACCTTGGTAATGCTTCTTCAACACAACAGTGACAGTTCAACTCAGTGGCAGTCCAACTTCCTCAGAGACACTAGCAGCAACCAACAGAGCCCCTCCTCAGAGATCTGAGTTTCACTTTGCAAAGCTCCTTTTCTAAATTTTTGGATTTTGATGACTCCATGCTCTTCGTTTTGCTCTCCAAATTGAAGACTTGCAGCTATTTCCTGCATTTACTACCTCTGTGATACCTTAGCGTTCTCTTTTTGCCTTTTCAGTTCTTGACCTACATAGTTAACAATTCTTTAAGTTGAATTTTCTCTGTTAAATATCTAATGTGGTTTCTTTCTCCTGACTGATTGACATAGTGATGTGTTTGGAAAAAAAAGAATCTTTTGTCTTTCAGAGGTACTAAAAGATTTACAGATATACTAAAATATTCTTCAAAACAGTCAGAAGTGGGAGATCAGCATCAGTTCCTCTGCCAGGCTTTCCCTTACTACCAAATAAAAGTGGTCTCTGAATTGTTCTGCATATCAAAATACATTTATTACTTTACTTAAACCATTCATCATTATCTAATACCTTAGTGATGGGGGGTGTTTTTTGTTTATTTTCTTTTACTGTGTTTTTGTTTTGCTTCTCCTGCTAGAATATAGCCTTATCTATTTGGTTCCCAGCATTATAATAGTACCCAGCCCCCAAAGCATGCATTTTACAGGCATCAGAGGTCTTCTCTATAGATTACCCTTGAAAGGGGTCCTATTCTAGGCTTTATAGAGTCATAATACTTAGAAAGAACTGATCTAGGCCTCTACACTGTAATCGTGGCTAATTCAAACCTAAAGAGGAAAGGCATAAGCCAAGTAGAGTAATAGGCTGTCATCTGTATAATGTGAAATTCATATAACCAAAATTACTCTTTAAAACCCCTTAGGAAAGCACCTTTGCATCTCTCAGGTTTTTTTTCTCCAACGTTAAAACAAATTGGTGTGTCTTAAATTGCACCTATGGAAGTAACTGGCTTGCATTTGGAGACATATATGAAAAAATGCAGCAAGGTATCCATGCTTTTCAGTACTGTGTGGGCACACAGACCAACTGAAGGAACAGCAGATTGACACTTCCATTCACATGACCCCTGAAGCAAGGGTCGGTGGGCAAAATTGCCTGCATCATTTAAATCATTTCAGTTTGATATTTTATTGTTCTCTTGCTCTCCTTAAAGAGGGGATTACAATAAACTGAACAATAACAGAAAAGATTATAATTTCAGACTAACAGGATGGAAAGGAAGAAAACAGAAGAGAAAGGCAGAAGGGATCAAGTGTGAATAGCACAAAGGAGTAGAAAGGAAGGTAGACTCTCTCAAAGTGAAAAATAACTGAAGAATCCTTAAGATTCAGATTGTATTTAGCCCAAATGATGGGGAAATCACAATAGGAAAAGATCCATAGTCGGAATAATAAGAAAGTAAAGTTATTATTAAAGAGTTTTTCACATTCTCTTGCTTTTTAGCTTTACATGCAGCTGCCCTTTCTGGTCACGTCAGCACCGTGAAATTATTATTGGAAAATAATGCTCAAGTAGATGCTACTGATGTCATGAAACATACTCCACTTTTCCGAGCCTGTGAGATGGGACACAAAGATGTGATTCAGACACTTATCAAAGGTTAGTTCATAGAGGGCTCTCTAAAGGTAGGAATACTTGCATGCTTAGTCTGAAATAAAGCTTTACATGACAACAGCCATGTGGGTAGAAAGATGAAGGGAAGAGCATACAGCCTGGCCCCAAGAAACTACAGTTCTATTTCTAGATCCACCCATTGGCAGTTGTTTGATTTTGGAAAAATCACTTCACCTACCCAATTCTGTTTCATTTTATGTCAAAAGGGGAGTGATTCTTGTGCTAACCACCTAACAGGCTTATTGTAAAAATCTGAAGTAGACACTGTGGAAACAGGAAACATTTAGATAAAATAAAGCAGTTAAGGGACAGTTACTATTTTTAATTTCTTTTATTTTTGTTAAGTACTATATTAAACATTTCATTATGATTTTGCTTTTCTAGGTGGAGCAAGGGTAGATCTAGTTGACCAAGATGGACATTCACTTCTACATTGGGCAGCACTAGGAGGAAATGCTGATGTTTGCCAGATACTGATAGAAAATAAGATCAATCCCAATGTGCAAGATTATGCGGGAAGAACCCCTTTGCAGTGTGCTGCGTATGGAGGATATATCAACTGCATGGCAGTGCTCATGGAAAATAATGCAGACCCTAACATTCAAGACAAAGAGGTAGACATTCTGGATCTTTTCTGCATCAAGTTTGCTCCAAGATCGTTAGAGTATTTCTTTTTCTTTTTTAAAGAAAACTTTTATTTAATGAATACAAATTTCATAAGTATAGCTTTAGGAATATAATGGTTCTTCCCCCCCATACCCGCTCTCCTACCACCACTCCCGTCCCACCTTCTACTCCCTCTCCCATCCCATTCTTTATTAAGATTCATTTTTAATTAACTTTATATACAGAAGACCAGCTCTATACTAAGTAAAGATTTCAACAATTTGCACCCACTCATGCACACACACACACACACACAAAGTATAAGGTACTATTTGAGAACAAGTTTTGCAGTTAATTCTGATAGCACAACTCATTAAGGACAGAGGTCCTACATGGGGAGTAAGTACACAGTGACTTCTGTTGTTGATTTAGCAATTAACACTCTTATTTATGACATCAATGATCACCTGATGCTGTTGACATGAGCTACCAAGGCTTTGGAATCCTTTTTGAGTTCACAAACTCCATAAGTATTTAGACAGAGCCATAAGCAAAGTGGAAGTTCTCTCCTTCAGAGAAAAGTACATCCTTCTTTGATGGCTACTTCTTTCCACTGGATCTCACAGAGATCCTTCATGTAGAACATTTTTGCCACAGTGTCTTGGCTTTCCATACCTGAAATGCTCTCTTGGGCTTTTCAGCCACATAGAAATGCCTTAAGAGCTGATTCTGAGGTCAGAGTGCTGTTTGGACATTTGTCATTCAATGAATCTGCTGTGTGGACTGCTTCCCATGTTGGAACATTCTCTCCTTTTTAATTCTATCTATTATTATTACCAGACACTTGGTCTTATTTATGTAATCCTTTCGACACTTAATCCTATCTATATGATCAATTACATACTTAATATGATCACTTCAACACGTAAGATGGCATTAGTACTACCCAGTTAATGGGATCTGGAGTCCCATGGCAAGTTTTTGGCTTTACCTTTAGGGGTAAGTTCGTGGGAATGTGCGCCAAATTGTACAGCTCATTCCTCTCTTATTTCCACACTTATTTTTTACTGGGATCTATTTTCAATTGGCTTTATACACTTATGATTAATTATATGTTAAGTAAAGAGTTTACTAATGGTACTAAGTGTAAAAAATAAAAATAATGAAAAATAATAATAAACTGTTCCTCAACAGTCAAGACAAGAGCTGTTCAAGTCATTGCTTCTCATATTGTCAATTTCACTTCTACAGGTTTCCTTTTAGGTGCTCTGTTTTCATAGAACAGGGAGAATACAGGGTATTTGTCCCTTTGGGACTGGCTTATTCACTAAGTATGATGTTTTCCAGTTTTATCCATTTTGTTGCAAATGACCGGATTTCTTTCTTTTTTTTTTTTTTTTTTTTTACTGCTGTGTAGTATTCCATAGAGTACATATCCCCTAATTTCCTTATCCAGGCTTCTGTTGATGGGCATTTAGGTTGATTCCATGTCTTAGCTGTTGTGAATTGAGATGCAATAAACATGGAGGTGCAGATAACTTTTATTTGCTGATTTCATTTCCCTTGGGTAAATTCTGAGGATTGGGATAGCTAGGTCGTATGGTAGGACAATATTAAGATTTCTGGGGTATCTCCATACTGTATTCCATAGTGGTTTTACCAGTTTGCATTCCTACCAACAGTGGATTAGGGTATGTTTTTCCCCACATACTCACCAGCATTTGTTTTTGTTGATTTCTGTATGAAAGCCATTCTAACTGGGGTAAGGTGAAACCTCACTATGGTTTTGATTTGCATTTCCCTGATAGCTAGTTATCCTGATCATCTTTTCATATCTCTACTGGCCATTTAGGTTTCCTCTTTTGAGAAATGTCTGTTTAATGCAGGGTTTCCCCAATGCTCTCTAGTAATTTGATGATATTGGGTCATAGATTTAGGTCTTTAATTCATTTTGAATGGATTTTTGTGTAAGGTGTAAGGTAAGGGTCCTGCTTCATACTTCTGCATGTGGAAATCCAGTTTTCCCAGCATTATTTATGAAGTCACTGTCATTGCTCCAGGGAATGGTTTTAGCTCCTTGCATCCACTCATGCACACACACACACACACACAAAGTATAAGGTACTATTTGAGAACAAGTTTTGCAGTTAATTCTGATAGCACAACTCATTAAGGACAGTTTTCCAAGCACCATTTGTTGGAGAGATTGCCCCTGCTCCACAGATTGGTTTTAGCCACTTGGTAAAATATAAGTTGGTTGTAGATGCTTGGATTGATTTCTGATGTTTCCATTCTGTTCCATTGGTCTATCCATCTATTTTTGTACCAGTTCCAGGCTGTTTTAATTATAAATGTCTTGTAGTATGTCTTAAAATCTGGTATTATGATGGCTCTGGTTTTGTTTTTATTGTATAAGATTGCTTTAGCTATTTGGGTCTCCTGTGCCTCCATTTGAATTTCAGCATCATTTTTTCTAGATCTGAGAATGTCTTTGGCATTTTGATTGGTATTGCATTGAATCTATAAATTGCTTTTGGAAGAATGGACATTTTGGTGATATTGATTATTGATTCTTCAATCCATGAACATGGAAGATTTTTCCATTTTTTTGTGTCTTTTTCTATTTATTTCTTCAAAGTTTTATAATTCTCGTCATAGAGATCTTTGACATCCTTAGTTAAATTTATTCCAAGATATTTGATTTTTTTAGCTATTGTGAATGGGATTGATCTTAGAAGTTCTTTCTCGAAGGGGCCATCAAAGAAGGAGGTGCCTCTCTCTAAAGGGAAGAGAGAACTTCCACTTTGATTATGGCCCTGTCTAAATAAGGTCAGAGTTTGTGGACTCAAGAGGCTTCCATAGCCTTGGCAGCTCATGACAAGAGCCTCGGGTGATTACTGACATCATAAATAAGAGTGTCAATTGTTAAATCAACAACAGGAGTCACTGTACACTTGCTCCCCATGTAGGACCTCTGTCCTTAATGTGTTGTACTATGAGAATTAACAGTAAAACTTGTCTTCAAACAGTACTTTATACTTTGTGTGTCTGTGTGGGTGCAAAAACTGTTGAAATCTTTACTTAGTATAGAGTTGATCTTCTGTATATAATTAAAAATGAATCTTAATGAAGATTGGGATGGGAGAGGGCGTAGGAGGTGGGATGGTTTGGCCGGGGGAGGGCAGGTATGGGGGAAGAACCACTATAACCTGAAAGTTGTACTTAAGAAATTTATATCTATCAAATAAATAAAAATCTTTTTTAAAAAAGTTCTTTCTCAGCCATGACATTGTCTGTATATACAAAAGCTGTTGCTTTTTGTGTGTTGATTTTATATCCTGCTATTTTACCAAGCTCTTCTATGAGTTTCAGTAGTCTCTTAGTGGAGTCTTTTGGGTCCCCTATATATAGCATCATATCATCTGCAAATAGGGATAGTTTGACTTCATCTTTACCAGTTTGAATCCCTTTGATTTCTTTTTCTTGCCTGATTGCTCTGGCTAAAACTTCCAGGACTATATTGAATAGCAGTGGTGAGTGTGGGCATCCTTGTCTGGTTCCGGATCTCAGTGGTAATGCTTCCAACTTTTCCCCATTCAATAGGATGCTGGCCATGGGTTTGTCATAAATTGCCTTGATTGTGTTGAGGAATGTTCCTTCTATACCCAATTTGCTTAAAGTTTTCATCACAAAAGGGTGTAGTATTTTGACAAATGCTTTATCTGCATCTGTTGAGATAATCGTATGGTTTTTGTTCGGTAGTTTGTTAATGTGGTGTATCACATTGATTTGTGAATGTTAAACCATCCCTGCATTACAGGGATAAAACCCACTTAATCTGGGTGAATGATCTTCCTAATGTGTTGTTTAATTTGATTGGCCAGAATTTTGTTGAGGATTTTTGCATCTATGTTCATCAGGGAAATTGGTCTGTAGTTCTCTTTCTCTGTTGCATCTTTTCCGGGTTTAAGAGCTAAGGTGATGAGAGTATTTCCTTTGTGTAGTAAACTTAAGTAACACAACAATTTACTAAATGAACTGATTACCCATAAATCCATCTGTTAATGGATTTGTACATGTTCTTTTCCAGTCCTTTTCTATATCTCTAGATAATTAGCAGTCATAAAATAGATTGGGAACAATTTTACCACTTTTGTAAAAGATATGTATATGACATATGTATGTATTTGAATATAAACATAATTTTACAAACCATAATTTGTTTGCTTAAAATTATCACCATATTCTCCATTGATATATCTTTTTCATAATCAGTAATGTATAATATTCCAAGTTCTAAGAACTTTTTATGTTTAATAGCTCACTGAGTCCTCATATCATCAACCATAAAATTACTATTATTATTACCATTCTATAGATAAGGACATTGAAGCTCATGTCGTTTGACACTGCAAGAGTAGCCCTGAACAGTTTTAAATTATCATACCTAATGTCAAAATAATCATCTTTCTGAATTTAACCTTTTTTTAATATTTTTATTTATTTATTTGACAGGTAGAGTTACAGACAGTGAGAGAGAGAGAGAGAAAGGTCTTCCTTCCGTTGGTTAACCCTCTGGTGGCCACCGCGGCCTGCGCGCTGTGGCCAGCGCATCGCACTGATCCGAAGCCAGGAGCCAGGTGTTTCTCCTAGTCTCCCTGGCGGGTGCAGGGCCCAAGCACTTGGGCCATCCTCCACTGCACTCCTGGGCCATAGCAGAGAGCTGGCTTGGAAGAGGGGCAACCGGGACAGAAACCGGCACCCCGACCGGGACTAGAACCCTGTGTGCTGGAGCCGCAGGTGGAGGATTAGCCTATTAAGCCACGGCACCGGCCAATGTATAAATTTCTTTCAACTTAGCCAGTATGGATTTTTTTGGTTAATTATGTAATTATTTAATGATATGTGTTTGTTTGCCAAGTCAAAATATATTCCCTGTTCATCCAGCAAATATTTATCAAGATTGTTTCTATATGTAAAAGTAACATAAATGTAATGAAAAATATGTAACATATGATCTTTTTTTTTTTTTTTTTTTTGACAGGCAGAGTGGACAGTGAGAGAGAAAGACAGAGAGAAAGGTCTTCCTTTGCCGTTGGTTCACCCTCCAATGGCCGCCGTGGCCGGCGCGCTGCTGCTGGCGCACTGCGCTGATCCGATGGCAGGAGCCAGGAGCCAGGTGCTTTTCCTGGTCTCCCATGGGGTGCAGGGCCCAAGCACCTGGGCCCTCCTCCACTGCACTCCCTGGCCACAGCAGAGAGCTGGCCTGGAAGAGGGGCAACCAGGACAGAATCCGGTGCCCCGACCGGGACTAGAACCCGGTGTGCCGGCGCCGCTAGGCGGAGGATTAGCCTAGTGAGCCGCGGCGCCGGCAACATATGATCTTTTTGTTTGTTTGACAGGCAGAGTTTAGACAGTGAGAGAGAGAGAGACAGAGGGAAAGGTCTTCTTTTTCCGTTGGTTCACCCCCAAGCGGCTGCTATGGCCAGCGTGCTGCACCAATCTGAAGCCAGGAGCCAGGTACTTCTCCTGGTCTCCCATGCGGGTGCAGGGCCCAAGGACCTGGGCCATCCTCCACTGCACTCCTGGGCCACAGCAGAGAGCTGGACTGGAAGAGGAGCAACTGGGACAGAATCCAGCACCCCAACCGGGACTAGAACCCAGAGTGCTGGTGCCGCAGGCAGAGGATTAGCCTAGTGAGCCGCGGCACCGGCCAACATATGGTCTTTGTCCTTGAGTTAGTAGAATGCAACTTTTTAAAAAGATTTCTTTATTTGAAAGTTAGAGTGATTACAAGAGAGGGAAAGACAGGAAGAGAGAGAGACAAATAAAGAGAGAGAGATTTTCTTTTTTTTTTTTTAATTTTTTAATTTTTTTTTGACAGGCAGAGTGGACAGTGAGAGAGAGAGAGAGACAGAGGGAAAGGTCTTCCTTTGCCGTTGGTTCACCCTCCAATGGCCGCCGCGGCCTGCGTACTGCGCTGATCTGATGGCAGGAGCCAGGTACTTATCCTGGTCTCCCAAGGGGTGCAGGGCCCAAGCACTTGGGCCATCCTCCACTGCACTCCCGGGCCACAGCAGAGAGCTGGCCTGGAAGAGGGGCAACCGGGACAGAATCCAGCGCCCCGACCGGGACTAGAACCCGGTGTGCCGGCGCCACAAGGCAGAGGATTAGCCTAGTGAGCCACGGTGCCGGCCGAGAGAGAGATTTTCTATCCACTGGTTCATTCCCCAAATACCTTGTAACAGCCAGGTTGGGTCAGGCTCTCCCATCATGGTCTCCTATATGGATGGTGGATAATCAAATCCTTGAGCTGCCATCTGCTGCCTCCCCAAGATGTGTAGTTATAGGAAGCCGTATCAGAAGCAGGGTAATAAAGACTTGAAGAAGTACTCCAACATAAGGTGAGATGTCCCAAGTAGAGGCTTAACCCACTGTGCAAGAGTGCAACTTTTATCATTTGTAGAACCCTCTATGTTTTGCCAAGTTGCTAGTTTCTTATGTAAGTAGTAAAGAGCTAAGATTCATGTCACAATTACATTTAAGCTGCTTTCCATTCTAATACATTAGATTGTTTTCCAATTCTGCTAGTTTTTTTATGTGTATTATTTGGATTATTGTCTACAGAAATAATAATCCTATCTGTGGATAATAATATTTCGATTTCTTTATTTCCAATTCTTATGACTTTCATTTCTTTATCTTATCTTATTGAACCAGCAGGGACCTCCAATAGAATGCTGTATAGAACTGGTAATAGTTAGCATCCTTAACTCATTTTACCACTGAATATTGTATTTGCTGAGGGTTTCCTTATATGTCTGGTTGCTAAGAGTTTTGTAAAATCATACTCAGGTTTTTGTCAAATACTATTTACCCATATAGAAACAAGCTATTTTTCCTCTTTTCTGTTAATATGGTAAATTACATTGATTGTTTTCAGATGTTAAGCCATCCTTGCATTCTTGGACTAAACCCTACTTGACGATGTGTTGTGTAGATTTACTTATTGATAGATTTTATTTTTTAATATTTAAAAATTTTTTGCATTTGTGTTCATGAGAGAGATTGATCTATAATTTTTCTTTCTTGTATTGTACCTTTACAGGTTTTGGTAGCAAGGCACTATTGACCTTATAAAAAGAGTTAAGAAGTAGGTCCTCTTTTTTCTTCTCTGAAAGAATTTTTGTAAGAATTATGTTAACTCTTTAAAAAGTTAAAAGAATTTTCTGTTGAAGTCTTCTGGTATTGTGGTTTTCTTTGCGTAAATATTGTTAAGAATTGGTTAAGCTCCATTAATAGTTAAAGATTATTCAAATTTTCTAATTTTTATCTCAGTTTTTGTAAGTTACATTTTTTGGAGAATTCATTCTGTTATTCAAACTATCAAATGTATTTGCATAAAGTTAGTCATATATTTATCATTTTATGTATGTAGAAAATATAGTGATTTTCTCTCATTTATTATATGTGATGGTAATGTATGTTTTCTCTCTTAAAAATTTTTTCCATATTGCTTATTCAGCTTTTAAAACATTTCCTTCTGTCTTTGTTGGTTTTCTACATTTTGAGTTTGTTTACTTTGTCATTGGCGTTTGAGCTTATCTTTAGTATTTCTTGCCATCTACTTTCCTTGGGTTTGATTTAATGTTTTTTTTTTAAAGATTTCTTTTGAGCCGGCGCCATGGCTCACTTGGTTAATCCTCCACCTGCAGCGCTGACATCCCATATGGCCTCCGGTTCTAGTCCCGGCTGCTCTTCTTCCAGTCCAGCTCTCTACTGTGGGCGGGGAGGGCAGTGGAGGATGGCCCAAGTGCTTGGGCCCCTGCACCCGCATGGGAGACCAGGAAGAAGCACCTGGCTCCTGGCTTCAGATCGGCGCAGCGCCGGCTGTGGCGGCCACTTGGGGAGTGAACCAACAGAAGGAAGAGCTTTCTCTCTGTCTCTCTCTCTCTCACTGTTTAACTCTGCCTGGGGTGCAGGGCCCAAGCACTTGGCCCCTCCTCCACTGCCCTCCCGGGCCATAGCAGAGAGCTGGTCTGGAAGAGGGGCAACCAGGACAGAATCTGGCACCCCGACCGGGACTAGAACCCGGTGTGCCGGTGCCGCTAGGTGGAGGATTAGCCTATTGAGCCGTGGCGCCGGCTTAGTGAAAGTTTAAATCTTGATTTTTTTCAGTGTTGTTTTCTTTATAAGTGCAACTTCATCTGTGTCCTATAAATTTGGTTAAGTTGTACCTTCACTGTCATCCAGTTCAGATATTTTCTAATTCATATTTTGTTTTATTATCTGACTTATAGTTTATTTAGAAGTATGTTATTTAACTTCTAGGCAGTTGGGAATTCTCTATTATTGTTTTTGAATTAATTATATGAATGTCCTAATGTTGCTATAACTATCACAAAATGAGTAGCTTAACATAACACAAATTTATTACTTATTGTTCTACATGTCAGGAGTACAAAATGTGTCTCACTGGGCTAAGAAGTCAAGATATGAGCAGTGCTACATTTCTTTTGGAGACTATACATTTCTTGACTTTTCCAGCATCTAGAGGCTACCTGCATTCCTTGGCTCATGTTCCCATTCCTTCATCTTCAAAGCTGTCAATGGCTGGTTGAGACTTTCTCATTTTGTATCACTCTGACACCCACCCTCTTACCTCCTTCTTTTCCTTATAAAGACCACTGTGATTGTATCAGGCCTCCGTAGATATTTGAGAATAATCTTCCCATCTCAAAGTCTGTAGGTTAGCAACCTTAATTCTGTCTACGATTCTCTCTTTGTATGTACATATTCACAGGTCCCAGGGATCCCATGTGGACATCTTTGTTGGGGAACATTAGTCTTTATGGCTCAGCATATGATTGATTTTGGCAAGTGATCTATGTATATTTGAAAAGAGTAATAATTCTGTCATTATTGAATACAATGTTGTACTTACCACTTAGGGAAAATTCTTAAATTGTGTTGTTTAGGTCTTCTGTATCTTCACTGCTCTTTTTTCTGTCTGTTCTTTAATTTGTTATGAAAGATGTGTTGAAACATCCCACTATGATTATGGATTTAACTATCTCCCACTTTGCCAGTTTTTGCCCTGTATGATTAGAAGCTGTGTTCTTGATGGATAGAGACTGTAATATCTTCCTCTTTGACTTCTTTAACAAATATCCCTCTTTATCATTCATGACATTAAAATTTTTTAATTTAGTCATTAAAATTCAATGACTATTCTATAGAATTTTACTCAGCTCAGATTTACCTTTTTTTAATTTTTTTTTTTTTTTTTTTTTTGACAGGCAGAGTGGACAGTGAGAGAGAGAGACAGAGAGAAAGGTCTTCCTTTGCCGTTGGTTCACCCTCCAATGGCTTGCGCGGCCGGCGCGCTGCGGCCGGCGTACCGCGCCGATCTGATGGCAGGAGCCAGGTGCTTTTCCTGGTCTCCCATGGGGTGCAGGGCCCAAGCACTTGGGCCATCCTCCACTGCACTCCCAGGCCACAGCAGAGAGCTGGCCTGGAAGAGGGGCAACTGGGACAGAATCTGGCGCCCCGACCGGGACTAGAACCCGGTGTGCCGGCGCCGCAAGGCGGAGGATTAGCCTACTGAGCCGTGGCACCGGCCTCAGATTTACCTTATATTTCCCCATACTGGAATCAGGTTTCATATTTTTTATTGAAATGTTACATAAGTGATACTGAACCTTTCTCAGTTATCACCTCTAGTGGCATATGATACCCCTTAGCATAATGTTAATTATGATCAGTTGGTTAAGGTGCCATTAGTTTTTTCCACTATGTACTTATCCCTTTTTGTAAGTAAGCCATTTGGATAGAGAATTACTTGTATTTTTGAGTTAGCATAAATGACCACATGTCTAAGTATACTTACTCCTGGTGTATTTGTCTTCTGTTCATGCTTACAGGGAAGAACAGCTTTGCACTGGTCCTGTAACAACGGATACCTTGATGCCATTAAATTACTGCTAGACTTTGCTGCTTTCCCTAATCAGATGGAAAACAATGAAGAGAGGTAAGCTGTTGATTTGAGAAAAATAAAAAAGACCATACTGTTCATCTAACTTCCCTTATGCCAGATTTTTAAAATCTCAAATCTAGATATCAGCTCAGAAATAATAAATGCACTCATAAGGAAACTTTACTCTAAGAAATACAGAACCAAAAGAAAAGAGCAAAAGTTCTGCGCAGTTGGATTTATGATGACCGAATTTTATAGCTATTCAGAACTTTAGGTATTTGAGTTAGCTCATATTTTGCAGATTAGATAACTTGATTCACCTTCTGGCTTATGGCTGATATAGGGACATTGAAGTCCTGATTGACCTGGACCAGGAATTCTGTTAGGTCAACAGAACATGTGAAACATTCAGGTGATTCTCTGGATGCAGATGATGCTATTAGTGGACACCGAAGTGCTACCATGTAGCAGGAAAACATACAAAGACACTAAGATGAAGTTCAGGGTTTAATCTAAATGTAAGTCTGGAATAAGATCCACACAAGTTTTTCCAGGTTGCTGCTCAAGGACCCACGCCCAACAAAAAGAACCAGGCACAGTGTGAACTGTAAACAAAGGAAATTCTTAGTAGTCTTGGATGTAGGAAGGTGCTAGTGAAGGTTCTGGTAATTTGGAGGTAACAACTAAGTTTGTTGCTTCCATTCCAGAGCTCCCTCAAGCCCAGGTCTGTGCATTAGTGTCCTTGTTCATGGATGCCCTCACCAAAGTGACCCCTGCTATTACACCAACACCATTCTCCTAGCCACCTGCAGTTCTTTCTTTCTGTTGGTGAATGAGAAATGTGATAGAGAATGAGGGACTTTTCTAGGCCAGCTGTCTCAGAAGAAATACATTCTTCCTTTCTAGAACTGACCCCCTTCTCACTTCTTTCAGAACCTTTCCTCATTCCTGGGATTACTGAAATTATCACCCTTAGAAGCTGTATATAAATATAAGATAAATATTACAAATTAGTGATGATTTGTTTCTATTTTATTTTTATGTATTTATTTATTTGAGAGGTTGAGTTACAGACAATGAGAGAGAGAGACAGAGAGAAAGGTCTTCCTTCCATTGGTTCACTCCCCAGATAGCCACAAGGGCTAGAGCTGTGCCGATCCAAAGCCAGGAGCCAGGAGCTTCTTCTGGGTCTCCCACGTGGGTGCAGGGGCCCAAGCACTTGGGTCATCTTCTACTGCTTTCCCAGCCCCAGCAGAGAGTTGGATCAGAAGTGGAGCAGCCGGGACTAGAACCAGCAGCCATATGGGATTCCGGCACCTCAGGCAGAGGATTAACTTATACCAGCATGATGATTTGTTTCTGTAAGAACTTATCTTCTGGGGCTGGCACTGTGATGCAGCAGGTTAAAACCTCAGCCTGCTTTTCTCTGTAACTTTGTCTTTCAAATAACTGAAAAATAATTCTTTTTGAAAAAGATCTTATCCTTTATAATACCATTTACTACCTGACTGCTTTTTTAAAAAAAATTTTTTTTATTTATTTGAAAGCATTACAGAGAGACAGAGACAGAGACAAAGACAGAGATGGAAGCTCTTCCATCTACTGGTAAACTCCCCCAAATGGCAGCAATGGCCATACCAGAGCTTCTTCCAGATCTCCCAAGTGGGTGCAGGGGCCCAAGCACTTGGGCCATCCTCTGCTATTTTCCCAGGCACATTATCAGGGATCTGGATGGGAAATGGAGCAATTGGGACTGGAGCCTGTGTGGAATGTCAGCAGTGCTGCAAGCAGTGGCTTCACCACACCCCAGCACTGGCCTCTTGACTGTTTTTTTTTTTTTAAGGAGACAATTAGAAAAATCATTTTTATAATTCAATTCCCAATTATATTCTAAGTCTTGAATTTCAGACCTAGGAAACTACATGAATCAAGGTACATACAGCCTCCTGGAATAAATATATATTAATTTCAGGCCAGAAGACCAAAGGAAAAATCCTCCTAACTGTACTTGCCAATTTATAGATAAAAAGAGACTGTGGCAATATCTCAGTCTCCTTTAATGTTTCATCAGCAATACACCATGATGTACAGGTATCAGAACTTGGCACTGCCTTTTATGCTTATTGACATTCTGGTTTAGGCATTCTGCTCATCCCGTCAGACCATTCCCACATGGCAAGTCCAATTGTATCTTATCTCTTGTCTTTATCTACATTGTTTCTTGGCTGGTTACCATCAATGTAGTACTGATTTTTACTTATCATGCATTGACACTAACCAGTTAATGTACACTGTGTAGACTTCATTTTTGCCAACTTCTGCTGGCTTTCGGTCAATAACTATCTGACAGTCACACTCCAACATTGATGGGAATATTCACAGTACCTGAATGTTTCTAAATTGATTTTGGGATGAAGATTCACTAGTAATACTCACAATGTGGTCAGTTGCTAAAACACTAAGTATAAACTTCAGTCTTAAAAACTTGTTAGATATTTGGGCTGTCTGTTTAAATCATAAGTTGTCTGAGAATCCTAATTTGAATTAACTGACAATAAAAGACATTTTTGAGAAAATTAAGGAAATTTGATTGTGGAGTGGACATAAAATTTTATTAGGGAATTTCTATTAATTCTGTTAGTGTGATAATGCCATTGTAACCATACCCATATTACTCAGATTTATAGGTAAATTCTGAAATAGGTAAAGATGAAATGATAAGAGTTCTGAGATATGCTTTAAATACTTTAGCAAAAATTTTTTTTAAAAAGTGTTGGATGAAGCAAATATAGCAAAAAAATCTTGCTAATTGTTAAATTGAGGTGATGAGTGTATAATGGGTTAGTATGCATTTGTCTCTACTTTTGTTTATGTCTGGAGTTTCTCATAATAATCTTAAAAATGTTTAAGGTACAGTTTCCAATCCAAAAGCAACCTGGGAGTTCCAGTTCCTCTCTCCTTCCTTTCCCCTTTCAAGGATGAGAAAACAGAAACTCAGAGAAGACAGCAGGAGCCTTGGTGTCACATAGGTCCCGTGACTCCTAATCCAGCATTTATTTCTTTTTGCCTTATTTATAAATAAAGACATACTTTGGGCCCATCTTTTTTTTTTTATTTTATTTTTTTAACAGGCAGAGTTAGACAGTGAGAAAGAAAGAGACAGAGAGAAAGGTCTTCCTTTTTTCGTTGGTTCACCCCCCAAATGGCCGCTACTGCTGGCGCGTCACAGCCGGCACGCTGCGCCGATCTGAAGCCAGGAGCCAGGTGCTTCCTCCTGGTCTTCCATGCGGGTGCAGGGCCCAAGGACCTGGGCCATCCTCCATTGCCTTCCCAGGCTACAACAGAGAGCTGGACTGGAAGAGGAGCAACTGGGACAGAATCCGGTGCCCCAACCAGGACTAGAACCCGAGGTGCCGGTGCCACAGGCAGAGGATTAGCCAAGTGAGCCAAGTGAGCCAGGGCGCCGGCCGGGCCCATCTTTTATAAATCAAATTTTGCTAATGCTGCTTCTGTACTATGTTAGGGGTATTACATATTAATAATTATTGAAAAATGATCAGATTTACTAAATATATGTTAATTACACATTGATTTTAGACCATTTTGTTCTGTGGAAAACTTATATTATTCAATAATTAATAGATGAGTGGAAGAATTATTGAATTTGGAATTGTGAGCTTTGTTTTAGTCTGCATTCTGTAAGAATTAGCTTCCTAGTCTTCAGCAGATTGACTACCCCTTGTGCGATGTTTTTTCTTTTATAAAATGAAAATGTTGAAGTTAATTATCTCTAAAATTCAATTTATCTCTACTATCATGTGATTCATTAACTGTGATAATTTCTTCCATTAGAGAAGTTATAGTCATGAAAAGCATTTTCAGATATATAGTAATTTTTTTTGACTTAACAATTTTTTTCTTTTTTTGTTTTTTATTTTTTTATTTTTTTTATTTTTTAACTTTTATTTAATGAATATAAATTTCCAAAGTATGGCCCATGGATTACAATGGCTTCCCTCCCATAACGTCCCTCCCACCCACAACCCTCCCCTTTCCCACTCCCTCTCCCCTTCCATTCACATGAGGATTCATTTTCGATTCTCTTTATATACAGAAGATCAGTTTAGCATACATTAAGTAAAGATTTCAACAGTTTGCTCCCACACAGAAACATAAAGTGAAAAATAATAGATGATTTTTAAATGATGATGAAATCAGATCAGACCTATTGTCATGTTTAATCCCGGTGAGAGTCAAGTTGGGAATTGATAATTTCTTCTTTTTTTTTTCTTTTCTTTTTTTTTTTTACAGAAGATCAGTTTAGTATACATTAAGTAAAGATTTCAACAGTTTGCACCCCCATAGAAACACAAAGTGAAATATACTGTTTGAGTACTCGTTATAGCATTAAGTCTCAATGTACAGCACATTAAGGACAGAGATCCTACATGAGGAGTAAGTGCACGGTGACTCCTGTTGTGACTTTACAAACTGACACTCCTGTTTATGGCATCAGTAATCTCCCTATGCACCAGTCATGAGTTTCCAAGGCTATGGAAGCCCCTTGAGTTCTCCGACTCTTATCTTGTTTAGACAAGGTCATAGTCAAAGTGGAGGTTCTCTCCTCCCTTCAGAGAAAGGTACCTCCTTCTTTGAAGACCTGTTCTTTCCCACTGGGATCTCACTCACAGAGATCTTTCATTTAGGTTGTTTTTTTTTTTTTTTTTTTTTTTTTTTTTTTTTTTTTGCCAGAGTGTCTTGGCTTTCCATGCCTGAAATACTCTCATGGGCTTTTCAGCCAGATCGGAATGCCTTTAGGGCTGATTCTGAGGCCAGAGTGCTGTTTAGGACATCCACCATTCTATGAGTCTGCTGAGTATCTCGCTTCCCATGTTGGATCACTCTCCCCTTTATTTATTCTATCGGTTAGTATTAGCAGGTACTAGACTTGTTTATGTGCTCCCCTTGACTATATAGTAATTGTTTTAAATTCTGAATTTACAAAATGCTATGTAAGTATCTGTACTTACAGCCTCTGGTGCCTGAACAGTAGTGACAAATCAAGCTGTCTTAAATGAGAGATCATTAATTTCAGCATTAAGGGCTTCCTTCCAAATTGTTTTCTTAATGAAATGACCAAATAATCTCATATTGAAAACCACTTCCTTTTATGTCTTATATTGACTGTTAAGTGAATTTTGAAGAGAAATTTATTTATTCTCTATAATCATTGAGTGATTTTCTGTGTCTAATCATCCATATAGTTATCTTTTTTCCCCACCTCATCAGTTAGCAGATTATTTCCTCCTAACACTTCTGATGGCCTGGACTAGTCAGAGTCAGCAGAGAGGGGCCAGCATCAGTGGCAGCCTTAGGTGGTCCTAAATACTAGTTTGGATCCTACGGAAATAGGCACAGTTAAGCCACTGTGGTATCACAGAACATGCTGCAATGTATGTGATAATAACAATCAAAGCTGACACTTATTAACTGCTTCCTTTATGCAACACACAATGCTATCCTTTTTACATTTAATAAATGTACTTACTTCATTTTCCATGCATTCTGAAGTCTCTGGAGTAGAATCTTGCTTAACAGATGAGGAAAGCTGAGACTTAGAAACATCAATAAGTTATATAAAGTGATAGTTGTCATTACCATTGTTGAATGGTTGATTTGGAGGATTTTTTTAAATATTTTATTTATTTATTTGAAAGGTAGAGTTATAGACAGTGAGAGGGAGAGACAGAGAGAAAGGTCTTCCTTCCATTGGTTCACTCCCCAAATGGCCGCAACAGCTGGAGCTACACTAATCTGAAGCCATGAGCCAGGAGCTTCTTCCAGTCTCCCATACGGGTATAGGCCCAAGTACTATACTGCTTTCCCAGGCCACAGCAGAGAGCTGGATTAGAATAGGAGCAGCCGGGACTAGAACTGGTGCCTATATGGGATGTTGGCGCTGCAGGTGGAGGATTAATCTACTGTGCCACGGTGCGACCCCATGGAAGAATTTTTTTTAAACTTTAATTTTCATACTTTTCTATACTGTTTAAGCTCTCCAAAAATATATCATGTTTACAATGTAATTGTTTTTCTTTGAAGAAAAGAAAGCTTTGTGTTTTTTGCCCTGTAAGGTTTTATTTTGATGTAGTCAGATTTATCAATCTTCATTTATGGTTTCTGAGTTGTTTAAATTTTCCATGATTTCCTCTAGTACTTTCATTATTTTTTTTATATTTAGATCTTTGTTCCATCCAGAATTTATTTTGGTGTAAGATGTGTTACAAGAATATCTCTCTCTCTCTCTCTCTCTCTCTGGTTTTCCAATATGGCTACCTGATTATCCCATACTAGTTATTTAAATAATTCATTTTTTTTGCAGCAGTTAAAGGATAATTCTTATCATGCTCTAAATCTCTCCATTTGGAGGTATACTTTTATTTCGTAAGCATTAACTATCAATGATCATGGGTGTGAATCTCACAGGTACTATTTGCCATATTTACTCCCCAAATGCCCACAACAGCTGAGACAAAGCCGGCACCAGAAATTCAGGCTGGGTACCCAGACTACGCATTAGCAGGCAGCTGGAATCAGAAACAGAGCCAGAGCCAGGCCTAGAACCCAGGCACCCCAATAGAGTACACAGGCATCCCAAGTGGTGTCTCCATTGCTAAGCCAGTGCCTTTTTTTTTTTTTTGACAGTCAGAGTTAGACAGTGAAAGAGAGAGAGAGACAGAGAGAAAGGTCTTCCTTCCGTTGGTTCACTCCCCAAATGGCCGCCATGGCTGGTGCGCTGCACCAATCTGAAGCCAGGAGCCAGGTGCTTCCTCCCAGTCTCCCATGTGGGTGCAGGGCCCAAGCACTTGGGCCATCCTCCACTGCCCTCCTGGGGCACAGCAAAGAGCTAGACTGGAAGAAGAGCAACTGGGACATGAACCCAGCGCCCCAACCGGGACTAGAACCACAGGCGGAGGATTAGCCTAGTGAGCCGCGGCGCTGGCCACCAAATGCCTTGTGGTGGGAGCTGAGGGGTGCAGTATTTTTTCAGATAGGTTCAGGGGATTAACTGGCACACAGAGAAGAAGGAAAGTAATCACGTGTTCCCATTAGCCTCCAGTTTGTAAGCCAGTAAGCAAAACTCAGGAATTGACTTTGTCAGCAGCTCAAACACCTGACTCCCCTGCTGTAGTCAGCTTTGTTTTGTTACCCCTCAGAACATAGAAGGTACCCTTCATACCAGGTACAGCCCTGGAGTACAGAAGGTGCCTTTTCCTCAGGAATATTCCACTTCTTAGATGAAGTTTCCTTCTGATGTATAATAATAATGCTGGTCTAACTGTACCTTGAATGACATTCCGAGACTTAAAACTAAATATCTCCTGCTTCAGGTACACACCGCTTGATTACGCGTTGCTTGGTGAGCGCCATGAAGTTATCCAGTTCATGCTGGAGCGTGGTGCCCTGTCCATTGCGGCCATACAAGACATTGCTGCCTTCAAAATTCAGGCTGTCTACAAAGGGTACAAGGTCAGAAAGGCTTTCCGAGACCGGAAAAATCTCCTCATGAAGCACGAACAGTTGAGAAAAGATGCTGCTGCCAAGTAAGTGGGAGTTGTGGAGACTGTGTTCCTATTCCTCAGGATCAAGGTGGAAGGGGGCAGACAGGGGAGGGACTCAGGACAGAATCTGATGGACATCTGTTCCCTGTGCTGTCACCTTCCCCGTCTGCCTAACACTGTGTTCAGAGGACTGAGGCTAAGGGCAAGGACAGAAGCCCAATCTGTACTTGGTAAATGGTCCTGATATTCACCCCTGATATTCCAGCCCAGGAAAAGCCACTGCCACCCTCATCCATGGACGGATTTGGGGGTGGGAATGACACCTAAACTACAGAGTTAATGATTGTTCTTACCCTTCCTTTCTTCCCAAAAGAAACTTATGCCAATACCTAGCCTATTTCCCCTAGACTAATCTAAGTCTAGTTTTGATTTAATTAAAGCAACCAACTTATAAAAATAACTTGTGTTCCTTCCCATTCCTTCACAAATCAGTATGGCATAATTTATTTTTGGACAGTGATCTAAGATTTACAAAATATCCATTTGTGCCTGCTGCACATCATGATTATTTCACACCAGTGATTGATTTTAGATTTGCCTTGGTTTGCTTTATGATACTCGTGTCGGGTAGAAGTGTTTTAAATATCAGCAAGATATTTCATGAGTACATACAGATACCAGAACCTCTGATGATAAAGATGTGGGTGGCAGGTGCTTTCCTGAAGGGCACCTTCTGCCTGTATCCTGCGTGTGCCCAGATCTTGAGTCCTTCCAGCTCTGGAAGGCTCCCAACTCAGACTCCTTCCATATCTTACCCACAAAGGGGAAGCATACGTGTAACAAACAACATTAAAAATAATATTTAAATAACTATTACAGTAATAGTAAGGAAAGATAAATCATTTTAATGAGGAGCTAAATACTACTTTGTACGGGAATGCTAACCACAGTATCAGCATTGAGTGGATAAAATTAACAGAAACATTATTTTCTGTGACTCTGAAGCTACTAAAGTAGGTAGCAATCTAGGAAATATTACTTGCTCTCTTAGCAAGGCTCTTCATTTCACTTTTTCCAAAGAATGCAAAATAAACCTAAAGCTTCTGCACACCACCTTTTTCAGCCTTCTTGTAAAAGTTGTCTGTATGTCAGTAGCAGCTGTAAGTAGGAAATACACATGACGAATTACCCTGAGTTGCAAGTAGTGGTTTCCTGCAAGGGATGGAATATTGTGTAGTTGTCCCCCATTATTCACATGAGGATAAATCCAAGACCCTCAGTGGACTCCTGAAATCTCCAGTAATACCAAACTTTGGATGCTCAACTTAGAATTTCTCAGCCTTATGATAGTGCATAAGCAATACATATTTGGCAGAAACTGTACTTTTTAAAAAATATTTATTTAGGGCTGGTGCCGTGGCTCAGTAGGCTAATCCTCCGCCTAGCAGCACTGGCACACCAGGTTCTAGTCCCGGTCGGAGTGCCGGATTCTGTCCCGGTTGCCCCTCTTCCAGGCCAGCTCTCTGCTATGGCCCGGGAGTGCAGTGGAGGATGGCCCAAGTGCTTGGGCCCTGCACCCCATGGGAGACCAGGAGAAGCACCTGGCTCCTGGCTTCAGATCAGTGCGATGCGCTGGCCACTGCGCGCTGGCTGCGGCGGCCATTGGAGGGTGAACCAACGGCAAAAGGAAGACCTTTCTCTCTGTCTCTCTCTCTCTCTCACTGTCCACTCTGCCTGTCAAAAAAATATATATTTATTTATTTGAAAGGCAGAGTTACAGAGAAAGAGAGGGAGAGAGAGAGGGAGAGGGAGAGATCTTCCATCTGTTGGTTCCCTCTCCAAATGGCTGCAACATCTAGGGATAGACTGATCTGAAGCCAGGAGCCAGGAGCTTCTTCTGGGTCTCCCACATGGGTGCAGGAGACCGCTTTCCCAGGTGGATTAGCAGGGAGCTGGATTTGAAGTGGAGCAGGTGGGACTGGAACCAGTTCCTATATGGGATGCCAGCACTGCAGGAGGCAGCTTTACCCACTATGCCACAGCATGGGCCCCAGAAACTATACTTTGGTCATGTTACCTCACGTACCTTTCTCAGTTTAGCATATTAGGGTGGCATAAATCACCTACCTCAGAGTGGATATGAAAGGAACTTATTGACATACACTGACTTCTAATTTACTTATAGAGAAATTGGGAAAGAGAAAATTGTAGTCATATTTTCTAAGGCAGGTATTTTAGAAAATACTATTTATGAAATATCTATAATCTGCGTAAAAGCACTTTAAAACTTAAACTGCACTATCCATGTTGTTGCCAAAGTGAACATTACTGTAATTTACCTGCCAAAGCACACGATTGAATGCACACTTAAATAAGACTCTGTTTATGTTGATCACCCTTCTTCCTTGAAGCTTTATTTTTGCTCAGTTCTTATTTCACTCCATAATCTCAGCTTTTGCTAAATAATTCCTTCTCACATCTTTTAAAAAGCTTATTATCAGGGCCGGCGCTGTGGCGTAGCGAGTGAAGCCACCGCCTATGGTGCCGGCATCCCATGTGGGCGCTGGTTCGAGTCCCAGCTGCTCCACTTCTGATCCAGCTCTCTACTGTGGCCGGGGGGGGAGGGGTCAGCTGAGGATGGCCCAGTTCCTTGGGCCCTTGCACCCATGTGGGAGACCTGGGGGAGGCTCCTGGCTTCTGGTTTCGGATTGGCACAGCTCTGGCTGTTGCAGCCATCTGGGGAGCAACCCGAGGGATTGAAGACCTCTCTCTCTGTCTCTACCTCTCGGTGTAACTCTATCTTTAAAATAAATAAAATAAATCTTTAAAAAAATTAAAAAATAATAAGCTTATTATCTATCTGTTTATTTATCTGAAACACAGAAAGACCTCCCATCCAGAGCTTCACTCTCCAAATGCTCACAACAGCCAGGACCAGACTGGTCCAAAGCCAAGAGCCAGGGACTTAATCCAGGTCTCCATGTGCACGGCAGGAATCTAATCCCTTGACTTAGCACTTGCTGCCTCACATGGTTTGTATTGGCACAAAGCTGGAGTCAGGAACTAGAGCCTGGTATTGAACCCAAGTAATCTGATTTTTGTGGGCCTCCTAACTGGCATCTTAATCACTGAACACCCACCCACACCTTTTTACTTTTACTATCTCCATGCTGAAGTCATCCCTGAAGGTTAACTCAGACATACACTTATGCTGTATTTTTCCTTTGAAAATGTATCCACTTGGGGCCAGTGCTATGTCTCAGTAGGCTAAGTCTCTGCCTGCCACACCAGCATCCCATATGGGCGCCAGTTCGTGTCCTGTCTGCTCCTCTTCTGATCCAGCTCTCTGCTATTGCCTGGGAAAGCAGTGGAAGATGGCCCAAGTCATTGGGCCCCTGCACCCATGTGGGAGACCCAGAAGAAGCTCCTGGCTTTGGATCAGCCCAGTTCCGGCCAATGTGGCAATTTGGGGAATAAACCAGTGGATGCAAGACCTTTCTCTCTTTCTCTCCTTCTCTCTGTAATTCTGCCTCTCAATTAAATAAATAAATCTTTTTAAGAAAGAAAGAGGGAGAGGGAGAGGGAGAGGGAGAGGGAGAAGGAAAGAAAGAAAGAAAAGGTATCTACTCAAAATTGAAGTTGGTTCATTTCTGTAGGTAACCCATTAATTATGATCACATCTTGACCTCCTGGATATCTAATCCCATATCATCAGTTACCTACTAGATGTTTCCACTTTGCTATCATTTTGTCACTTGCCAACACTATCTTTTAAAATTTATTTATATAAAGAAACAGATTTCATGTATTTCTTATATACAATTTTAAGCACAAAATGATACTTCCCACCATCCCACCTTCCCTCCTGCTTCCTTTCTTTTTTTTTTCTGTTTATTTTTATGGTGATATACTTGTACTTTGTATATTAAGTACTGTGTACTTGGTACACAGTCTTAATCCTCTACTAAATAAAGAATTCAACAAATTCCTTGGAGTTCTTGGGAGTATTGACAAGGACCATGCATGCAGAGATCCAGTTTTCCCAACACCATTTGTTGAAGAGACTACCCTTTCTCCAGGGAGTGATTTTAGCTCATTTGTCAAAGGACTGGATGACTTCAGTGGTGAATTCAACAAAACTGTTAAAGAAGAACTAATCCCAATTGTTAAATGATTCAAAACAATTGAAAGGGAGGAATTCTCCCCAAACTCCTTCTATGAGGCCAGCTTCACCTTAATTCCAAAATCAGAAAGAGATACAAGGAAGGAGAACAATATGTTGATCAGTATCCCTGATGAACATATATGCAAAAATACTCAACAAAATACTAGCTATTCAAATACAACAATACATCAAAAAGATCATCCACCCAGACCAAGTGAGATTCTTCCTAGGGATGCAAGGATGGTTTTAACACATGCAGATCAATAAATGTGATATATCACATCAACGAACTGAAGAATAAAATTATGTGATTATCTTAATAGATGCAGAAAAAGCATTTGATAAAATACAACATCCTTTCATGATTTACAAAAAAATACCTTAATCAAATTGGATATAAAAGGAACATGCTTAAATACAATCAGGGCAATATTTGACGAACTCACAGCCAGCATCATACTGAATGGGCAAAAGGATGCCCACTCTCACTACTACTATTCAGTATACTTCTGGAAGTTTTAGCTAGAGCCATTAGGCAAGAAAAAGAAATTAAAGGGATAGAAATTGGAAAGGAGGAAGTCAGATTATCCCTTTTTGCAGATGACATGACCCTATATATACAGGAACAAAAAACTCCACTAAGAGACTATTGGAACTCATAAGAGAGTTTGGCAAAGTGGAGGGATATAACAGCAACATACCTGGGGCCGGCACTGTGGCACTGCGGGTTAACGCCCTGGCCTGAAGCACCGGTATCCCATATGGGCACTGGTTTGAGACCTGGCTGCTCCACTTCCAATCCAGCTCTCTGCTATGGCCTGGGAAAGCAGTAGAAGATGGCCCAAGTCCCTGGGCCCCTGCACCCACATGGAAGACC